AACCCCCGGGCTCAGGCAATCCACTCACCTCAGCCTCCCAAAGGCGCGAGATTACAGGCTGAGCCACCGAGCCCGGCTTCTTTGAGCTCTTAATATGTACTTTAAACCAGGCGCAGTGGCTCAAGCATGCAATCCCAGCACCTTGGGAGGCCAAGGTGAGAGGATTGCCTGAGCTCAGGGGTTTGAGACCAGCCTGGGCAACTTGGTGCAACCTCGTCTCTACAATAAATCAAAGAATAAGCCGGGCACGGTAGCGCGCACCTATAGTTCCAGCTACTTGGAAGGCTGAGGCAGAAGGATCACCTGAGCCCAGCAGGTGAAGGCTGCAGTGGCCATGAGCGTGCCATTGCCCTCCTGCCTCGGTGTCAGAGTGAGACTCCGAACCCCTCCCCCCAAAATATGAACTTTAATGTGAGCATCATATAATCCACTAGAACAAGGGTCCCCAACCCCCTGTGGCCTGGGAGTTGGAGACCCTTGTTCCCTTAAGAAGCATATATATATGCATATATATATATATACACACACATATACATATATGCATATGTATATGCTTCTTAAGGGAACTTTGTCTAACACTTTTTCCCCCGTTTTGCAGTGTCGAGAACAGTGCCTGGTACACTGTAGCTACCTAATACCACAGGTGCACGACACTGTGCTGTGGGTTGGGTAGGCCTTTCCCACCTTCCCTGCCTTCTCTCCTTTACCTGCATGTCTTCCTGATATCCCTCCAGTGTCAAGTCGTTGAATAAGCAGAAAGTCTACATGTGGTTTAAATGTTTAAATGTGATAGCAAAATAGTCATTGTATTTAATGTTTGATTATACAAGCTGATTTCTTTTGGCTCTTCTAAATACTTTATTATTTAGTAGATATATTTGTACTTAATCTTGTATTTTTTTCCTTACTTCACATTGTTGCCACATGCAGAATCATGGAATCAAAGCACATCAATATTTTCAAGGCTCTTGACAACATAATGCCAATTCATTCCTCAATATTTCTGAAGAGTGCTGGATTGATTGGTTGGCTTAGGTCTTGCTTGATTAATATCTCAGAGAAGCAAAAATGATTTGAATTCTGGGCATCCGACCTGTCACTTCGCTCTCTCTCTGTGTTAGCCTACTCTCTGATATGCTTTTACATGTATTTGTTCACAGATTTAGCTTCTCCTTTGTATCATAAGCTCCTGTAGGGTCAGCACTTTCTCTAAGTTAAGCTTTACGGAACACAACAAAATACTAATATTTGAATTAACCAATCATCTTTTACTACAATATAGTAGACAATCTAGAGCAAATTCTAACCCTAAATGAATTTTATGCCTGCATTAATTAATACAACCTAGATTAATATTCAGTTATTCTCACATTGCACAGAGTATTTTCTGTTTTAGCTTCCATTTTTACTCCACCCAATACAGGGTCAAGTACAAGGTAGGAATTGAACCCAGGTAGGCAAATTACTTACTCCTGAAGTAGAAAGGTGATACCTGGGCGTCAACGAGTGGTCGTGGTGATGGACTCTGCAGCCTTTTTTGGATTAACTACAAGTCATTATTACATGTTAACCTGAAAAACAGCAGATACAAAGATGTAAAAAATAGCAGCACCATTGGGTATTGCTTTTTGTGAGCTCTTATATCTCCCAGCTCTACTGTTAATTTCTCATGGCAGTTTCATTTACCGCCTACTTTTCCACTGTAACTATCTTGAACTTTAATATCACTTATTCATCACTCTAGGATACAGTCAACCAACATTTTAAGTTGAAACTCTTCTTTTCACAGGACTCTGATTATGGGAGATAAGAAAGCCGGGTTTTCTGTTTTCTGGGCTGATGATGGTTTAGACACAGGACCTATCCTTCTTCAGAGATCATGTGATGTGGAACCCAATGATACAGTGGATGCCCTTTATAATCGATTTCTTTTTCCTGAAGGAATCAAAGCTATGGTCAGTATATTTACACCATTGAGAATTTAGTAAACCCTTCAAGTTTTGGAAACATTTTTCCTTTATGAAGAATTTACCCATAGGAATTTTCACGAAAAATGTAAAGCTTCAAAACAAAAGTAGACTTTATATTTATCAGTGAGATGGTATATAAGGAGGAACCTCCAAAACCCAGAATTTGTTTATTAAAAAATTGTGTATTTATTCTCACATGGTTAAACTTCAGTCACCGTCATAGTGATGCGATACACCTGTCGAGACGCTTTTTCGACTGCTCGAAAGTTTTTGAACTCATCGATGTTGATGCCTTTTCGTGCTTCTGCCGTTTTTTGTTTCGCCTCTTCCACATCAGACAAGCATTTCCCTTTGAGGACTTTTTCATCTGGGGAAAGAAATAAAAGTCGCTTAGGGCAAGATCGGGTGAATAGGAACAGTGGGCATGGGAATCATGCCGTCTGTGGCCAAAAACTGCTGAACACGCAGCACGGTGTGGACTGGTGTGTTGTCATGGCAGAAGAACTAGCTACCTGTCTACCACGACTGGGGACGTTTCTTCTGCAAATCATATCTCACAACAAAGCTGGCTGGTACACTGATGCCCATGGGTTCTTAGAACACTTACCTAGCAGGGGAAGCCTGTACTACAAGGGTCTGCCTTCCAAAAAATAATTCCGTTTTTTGGGGTCCCCCTTTGTATTCAGGGTAGAAATCTGAACTTGACAGATTCTTAGTCTGTGAAGCTGATTTACTCTTCTGAGAGCAGTGATCAAATAGATTAAGTAGCAATTAAATCGCTCAGTTTCTTTTGCCGAATACCTGAATCTTCAGCCCTGTTCATAACGACTCATTGTAAGGAAGTGTACAGAATCTTAAGAAATTTTGCTACGTGTTTGAACTTCCTTTTAAAGTATTGTAGTCTATGCAATGGTGAAATTTGGTGTTGCTTTATTTATTCAGATGTGCTCTGGTTAAAAAGGCCAAAACATGCACACCACAAGTAAAAATATTGAAATATTAGCCTGGGAAAGTATTGAAAGATTCAGCAGACGATTCTTATGTCACCTCATTTTTTTTTCCAGAGTGGGTATGATAGAAGTAGCATGATTATATAAAGTGGTTGCCATTGATTTAGGAGGGAGGAGACCAGTGTTTTGCTTGTATCATTTAATGATTAAAAGAGTGGCCGGGCACAGTGGCTCATGCCTGTAATCCCAGCACTTTGGGAGACTGAAGTGAGAGAATTACTTGAGTCTAGGAGTTTGAGACCAGCCTGGGCAACATAGTGAGACTTTGTCTCTACAAAAATAAAAAAATAAGTTAGGCATAGTAACACGCACCTGTAATCCCATCTACTTGGGAGGTTGAGGCAGAAGGATTGCCTGAGTTCAGGAGTTTGAGGCTGCAGTGAGCAGTGATCGTGCCACTACACTCTAGCCTGGGCAAGACAATGAAAACCCTATTTAAAAAAAAAAAAAAAGGCCGGGCGTGGTGACTCAAGCCTGTATTCCCAGCACTTTGGGAGGCCAAGGTGAGAGGATTGCCTGAGCCTGCAGTTTCGAGACCAGCCTGGGCAATACGGTGAGACCTTGTCTCTACAATAAACCAAAAATCAGCCGGGCGTGGTAGCGCGCGCCTGTAGTTCCAGCTACTTGGAAGGCTGAGGCGGAAGGATCGCCAGAGCCCAGCAGGTCGACGCTGGGGTAGCCACGAGCGTGTCACTACACTCCAGCCTGGGCGACGGAGTGAGACTCCAACTCAAAAAAAACCCCAAAAAGTTGGGCTTGGATACCAGAGAGACCTAAGTTCAAGTTCTCACTCCTTATTATTGTATGGCCATAGGCAAGTCATTTGTTCTTTTTAACCTTGGTTCCTTCAACTATAAAATGTAGGTAATACCACCTAATGTGTGAGGTTGTTGTGTAAAGTAAATGTTGTGCAAAGCATTTGTCATGCAGCAAGCGCTCAAAAATTGGAATGACAATCAATATAGTATTATGTGTGTGCAGTGACATTTGCTGAGACCCGGACCCATACCTGGCGGTATTAGATGGAAGGGGGTAGACTCAGTTGTAAACTTGGCTCTGTTCCTCGGCGGCTCCCTCTGTGTATTCTGGGGTGGTTTGGGTAGCAGCTGCGAGACCTTAGAGAGAACTCTGAGAACTTGAGCTCACAGGCCTGCCAGGGGCTAGAAGAGGCTCTCAACTCAAGGCAAACATAAATATGGCAGGGAAGAAAATGCAAGACACATCCTAAAAGGAATTCCACTCATGGATAGATTTTAACATTTTCAAAATGTAACATTTTCTAGAATCTTTATGAAGAGTAAAATAACCCACAGTGACTTATAATTATATTCCTGAAATGTCCATGGACTCACCCAGGGGAGGTTGGAGTTCCTTTAAACAAAGGAGTGATTTTTTTCAGAGCGTAGACTTGATGTTGGCAGTAGACAGACCTGGATGCAAATCCTGCTTCTGATACCTACGGACTCTCTCTGGGATCCTGAGCTCATGACTTAGCTTTTCTAAGCCACAGTTTCCTCATGTGTACAGCGGGAATGATAATAGCCACCTCACAGGATTTGTGTGAGGTTTACAAGGGCTATTTTACATAAAGTAGCTACCGCATTGCTTGGCACATAGATGGACCTGAAGAAATGATCATTATCATCATAGTCTGACTCTCTGAGCAAGTTTATATGTAGTAATTGTGTTAAGCAGAAATTTCAGTTAAACAGACCATTCTTTGCTGATCACTGGGCTGTAACACGGGTGACGTTTTTGGCCTTAGGTTGAAGCTGTCCAACTCATAGCTGATGGAAAAGCTCCTCGTATTCCCCAGCCAGAAGAAGGGGCAACATATGAAGGCATCCAGAAAAAGGAAAACGCTGAGGTATTGATATCTACTCTGACACATCTCAAAGTTCAGGGCCTTCTACCGTTGAGTAGCTCCCAACGTACAATGTACCACGTGCCCACGGTGCCAGCCTGTCCCAGCCTTACCTGCTTCTGCCACTGATGGAGAGAAATGTTTCTGTGGCCTCTGAGATTCATGGCATTAGGACTCAGCCTGTGCTCTGTGCTTTCCTAGATTTCTTGGGATCAGCCGGCTGAAGTCTTGCATAACTGGATTCGAGGCCATGATAAAGTCCCTGGAGCCTGGACGGAGATAAATGGACAGGTGTGTTCTAGGGGAAATGCTTTTAACCCCATAGTACCTTTGTAAGAGGTATTGCAAGTGAGTGTGAGCTTCCCTTGGTTCTTCCCTTGGTCATGAGGACAGCCAGTGGTTCACTCTCCTCTGTATTCAGCATGAACTGTGCTTTACCACGAATCAGATAGTAGGCACAGCCCTGCCCTCAAGGAGCCTGTAGCCATATGGGGACAGCAGAGAAGAGAATACACACAATGCAGTGAGAGAAATGCTGTCATTGAGGCCGAGACTCCGGTGTGTCAGGAAAAGCTTCCCAGAAAAGCTGCTTTCCTTGAACTGCAAGAAGAGCTAACCAGTGGATTTGAGGCAAGCAAGTGAAGCCCTAGAGATTGGAGAGTGCAGCACCCAGTCAAGGGCGTGCTAAAAAGAGTTCACTGAAGCCGAGATCTTGGGGGTGAGGAATGGTGTGGGAAGAGCTGAGGCAGGAGAGAGGGGCAGGGGTCTTGGTTTCCTCCTTGTGAAATGGGACTAATAATACTGCTTCCCTCATAGGTTATGAGTTTTTGTGGAAAGTAAATGAGTTAGTGTGTGTTAATTCATTTAAGCACATAGTCCCTGGCATAGAGTAAGTACTCAATTAATGCTCACTCGTTTAGTGCTCTGTAGCTGATAGAATGATAGTCGTTAGTCAATGAGTGTCAGTTTCTCCTGGTGATGGTAGATCCGGTCCTGTTTCCACGCACTGACTCACAAGACACCCTGTATTTCTCATCACTTGTCACCCTGCCTTGTAGTGTCTGTTGACCACTCTGACTCTCCTGTCACCCTACCACCTCCCTGCCCCTGAAAACTCTACCTCAGGCTATCAAGGCTGAGCGCTTTTCTCTCATTCACCTTTGTGCCCGAGTGAATACATAATAAACGTTTACCCACGTGGCCCGGAGGTGCAGCGGTTTGGAAACTCTTCAGCCACATACTCAGATTGTTTCTTGCTGCCTTATGTCTACAGATGCTTGATACAGTCTCTCACATTGCAGTGCCTCCGTTTTATTATAGATGATGATCTGAACTTTAGCTTTTTTGCAGGGAGTGATGCTTGCACACACTCTATAAGCAGCTTTTCTCCTGATTTTACAATCTGGCTTTGATCTCTTTACTAGATGGTCACTTTCTATGGCTCCACATTACTGAACAGCTCCGTGCCTCCTGGAGAGCCACTGGAAATTAAAGATGCCAAGAAGTCTGGTCTTGTTACCAAAAATGGACTTGTTCTTTTTGGTAACGATGGAAAAGCAGTGAGTGTTCAATATGGCCACCTGTGAAATAACTTTGTGGTTTCCTTCTGTATCCTAAGCTAATAAGGGGATGGCTTTCATCAGGTAACCTGACTTTGCGCTGGGATGTGGGGAGGTGGGGATATCGGTGCCGTTTCCAACTTGGGAGAAGCTGGCCCTAGGGGTCCTGATGGGGACCAAACCCATTGGGATGGGCCCCACAGACCTGCACAGTCTGCTCTGTGTACAGGAGACAAGGATGTGAGGCCCTGCTCTCCAACTTGATGGTCTTGGGCAGGATGGCTCTTCCTCTTGAGCCTGTTTCCCCATCTTTATAACAGAGAGAGGAATCCCCCATCTGCCTTCCCACTGCCAGGGTCTAGGAGGATCAAGTGAAACGGTCGTGGTACCCCCCAGACATTCGCTGCCCCTGCCACAGCAGACAGGCTCCCACCCGCACAGCCTGTGCTTGGAGGGTGGTCCTAGGCCTCGGCGCACATCCAGGCAGCTTCCCGGTGAAGAGTGCAAAGGGAATTTTTAGCTCACAGGTGTTTTATAGTTGATACCGGATACATCAGTTATGACTGTAGACTTCAGAGTCCAGCTAGCTTTGGGTTCTAATCCCAGCACTGTTCCTTTCTGAGTAACACTGAGCAAATTACTGAACCTCACTGACCTCCACTTCTGTATCAGTAAAATGGGAATAATAATGGCATCTGCTTCCATCAGGATTTATGAAATGAAATGAGACACCTCAGCACAAACACCCGTACCTCGCACTGAGCATGAGGCAGAGGGAGTGCTCAGAAAATGCAGCGTTGTGGCAGCGCTATTAGTGTTTGTTGTAGTTGTACCTACAATCCAGATGTCCATTTTTCCAGGGCTTATTGTCTACTTTGAAATGTACCTGTCCCTAGACTTGACTTTCTCCTTTCTGCTGCCATTACTAAGATGCCGTTTCTGTCCTTTTACATATAATGGTGAATGCTTTTGATCCACATTTTTGTATTTTCCAAATAAACCTGTCTTATATACATATGATATCTATGACTCCTGCTCTCACTAGCTTTACTTTTGTGTTGTCTTTATCTTCCATTTTAATGCTTGTTTTGTTGCTATTTTGTAGCTGATAGTAAGAAATCTGCAGTTTGAGGACGGAAAAATGATACCTGCTTCACAGTACTTTTCGAAGGGTGAGATGTCAGCGGTAGAACTTACAGCTGAAGAGGTGAAGGTGGCGGAGACCATCAAGGTGAACATGTGATGACCTCAATCGTTGTTACCTCGAAAAACTGAAGAACGTTCGTAACGGTACTATCTGTCCTCAAAGTAGTGGGGCTGGCATTTATTCCCTCTTTTTCATATTAGAAAATCAACTCCCAAGTTAGCATGCTCAAACACAGTGTAGACACATTTATTTCTCACATCAGTAATCCAGTGCAGTTCTAGGTTGGCATGGGGGTAGAGGTGAGGTCGTTCGGGGATCCAGGATCTGCCGTATTCAAGGTCACCCTGGGGGTGGCCTCCATTCCAGACAACCAGAAGGGCAAACAAGCACAGAGCATTGTGTGGAAGAAGGTTTTCATGGGCCAGGACTGGCGCAGGCCACATCCATTTATATTCACTGGCTGCATCTGACTGGAAGAAAATCCAAGAAATGCAGTCAAGTCGTGTGCATGAGATGAGGCAGAAACAGGTTTGGTGAAGAGCTAGCCAGTCTCTGACACATTGTTCTATGTGGCGCTTCCCTCATGAAAGTTTCCCTTTTTGTGCAGGTCATCTGGGCTGGAATTTTAAGCAACGTCCCTGTTATCGAAGACTCAACAGACTTCTTTAAATCTGGAGCAAGCTCAATGGATATCGTCAGGTAAATCTGCCACCAAAGGACTCACAGCTCTCACTAGAGATTTTGACTTTGGCAAAATCCAAATCCATTGTTCTGGGTGCTATCACTCTACCATATCTATTACACATCTCTTTTTTTTCTCCCTTGTTGTTGTTTTTATGGTCAAACACATTTATATCTGTTTACTTTTTGTTGCCAACCAGAAGTTGGTTTCCTATCTTCTGTATACCTAGAAAACCAACCCTTCTAATTGTTTTCTTCTTTTTAGAATTTGTCCTCACATTTCTTAGCTGGTTTTTCTCCACTATGATATCAGGATTGAGAAGCTCTGGGTGAGAATGCTAATAGCGAGTTTCCTGTGCAGGCTGATCCAGAAGGATGCCTGATATTGATTACACTTTGCCCTAAATCTTTTTTTCCTCCTATCCCTTCAAATTACCCAGTGTTAGATCTAGGAGTGAGGAGAATCACCCTATAGTCAGAACCTTTCCACAGGGGTTTACGGCAAGTTGAAAGGGCTAGAGTTCTAGAAAGCTTCCTCTATGGCAAGAAAAGTGTGCCTGGATCCTGACGGTGTATTTTTCTTTGAGTAACTGGGATAATGGGACAGCCGGGAACTAGCCAGGGAGCTGTGCAGTCTCTCAATGGTGAATGCAAACAGCAGCTAAAGAGATTCTGACCCCCAGCTATGCGATGGCCATTCAGCAAGCTAAAGAATGTTCCTCCTCTGGATAAGACCTATCATATCGACAAAGCAGTGTTCCTGATGAATATCCTATTCATTCATGTATTCACACTTACTACATATCAGGAGCAGTTTTGGCACTGGGATACAGTTGTGAACTAGACAAAGTCCCTTTATTCATGGAGCTTTTGTTCCAGAAATAAAAAACAATTATTTCAAGAGCAGGTAGTATTATCAAAAGTCAAAAGTTTCGGTTCCTCAAATTACAGATAGCTCAGTTATGATTCCTGAGTTTCCAGAAACGTCTAATTAGCTTAACTAAAGATTTCAATACTGTATTATTAATATTATTATTATGTTAGAGACAGGATTTTACTCTTTTTACCCAGGCTGGAGTGTAGTAGCACAATCACAGCTTACTGAAGCCTCAACTTCCTGGGCTCAAACGATTTTCCTGCCTTAGTTTCCAGAGTAGCTGGGATTATAGGTATGAGACATTGTACCTGGCCTAAATGCAGCATTATTTATACTTCTTCTTCTTTTTCTTCATCTTTTTTTTTTTTTTTTACTAGTAAGATACTCCTGCAGAAATTACTCATTTCCTGTCGGAGTATCTGACTTACCATAATCATCTGATATTATTATCTTGATTACCAAGGCACCTCATCTCTTTTAGAGAATAAATGATGCAACAACAACTGTGGTATGCCATTGCCATCCAAGGATATCAGATAGCTGTAATCTGACTAACAATGAACATCAAAGGATTGGAGAGGACTTTAAAAATTATATTGATGGCTGGGTGCAGGGACTCACACCTGTAATCCCAACCCTTTGAAGGCCAAGGCAGGAAGATTGCTTGAGCCCAAGAGTTTGAGATCAGCCTAGGCAACATAGCAAGATCTTGTCTCTAAAAGAAACATTAAAAATTCGCCGGGCATGGTAATGCATGCCTATAGTCCCAGCTACTCAGGAGACTGAGGTGAAAGGATCACCTGAGCCAAGGAAGTTGAGGCTGCAGTGAGCCAAGATCATGCCACTGCATTCCAGCCTGGGTGACAGTGAGATCCTAACTCAAAAAAAAAATTATATTGACCTACTGCATGGTTCTAGCTAGTACCTATGTTAACCATGTAATGCAAACAAATGTCTGTTTAATTCTTGTGTATAGTTTAGAGCAAGTATTCTATACAATATGACATTCATCTCTCATAATCTTTGCAGTTTGAAAGCTGTCTTATTTCTTATTCTTTGAGTTTATTTGAAAAGAAATTGACTTTGCGTGCCCCTTACTATCTTGTTCATAAATAATTGAAATGTTTTGGCCTTGATGTTTTTTATTTCTAGTTTCAACTAAAGTTGAAAACAAACAAAAATATTGCCACCAGCCTTCAAGACAGAGCTTTGATTTTCTTGCCTGTAGTCTTTCAACTTCTCTGGTTATTGTTACAGAAGAACTCATAAGATATAAATAAGCATGTGATGTTAAGTCTCACTTCAAAACAACTTGACAGATGCTAGTAATACAGTCCCCTAAGCACTTTTAAAAATGTAAGTAACATGAAGCTGGTTCTTACTTAAAGGCTGGTTGAAGAGATCAGACAGAGATGTGGTGGGCTTCAATTACAGAATGAAGATGTTTACATGGCCACCAAGTTTGAAGACTTCATCCAGAAGGTCGTGAAGAAACTGAGAGGAGAAGATCGAGAGGTGGAGCTCGTGGTGGATTATGTAAGCGTTTCCTTGATGTTTCATCTCAAATCGGCACGACCCGTAAACTTTGAGAGAATCAGTGTCTGTCTAGCCGGGCATGGTGGCATGTGCCTATAGTTCCAGCTACTTGGAAGGCTGAGGCGGAAGGATCACCTAAACCCATCAGGTAGAGGCTGCGGTGGCCGTGAACGTGCCACTGCACTCAGACCTGGGCAACAAGAGTGAGACTCCAACTCAAAAAAACAAAAACAAAATGAAAGAATCTGTGTCTATCATTCATTTGCTTTTACATTTATCATCTTTTTTAAAGCAGCAGCTTTACTGAGATATACTTCAGATACTGTAAAAGTCACCCTTTAAAAATGCATATGTCAGCTGGGCGTGGTGACTCAAGCCTGTAATCCCGGCACTTTGGGGGCCTGAGGCAAGAGGATTGCCTGAGCCCATGGGTTCGAGACCAGCCTGGGCAACATGGTGAGACCTCATCTCTACAATGAAATAAAAAAATTAGCCGGGTGTGGTAGCGCACACCTGTAGTTCCGGCTACTTGGAAGTCTGAGGTGGAAGGACCGCTGGAGCCCAACAGGTCGATGCTGGGGTGGTTGTGAGCATGCCACTGCACTCCAGCCTGGGTGATGGAGTGAGACTCCAACTCACACACACACATACACACACACACACACATTTCAGTGTTTTTTTGTATATTCAGAGTTGCGTAACCATCACCACTATCTAAATCCTTATCAGATACAAGATTTGCAAATATTTTCTCTCATTCTGAACATTTTCCAGAAAGAAGCTCTGTACCCATTGGCAGTCATTCCCTCTTCTCTGCCCTGTCACCTACTCTTAGTCCCTGGAAACTGCTACTCTCCTTTCTGTCTCTATGGATTTGCCTGATCTAGAAAGTTCATATAAATGGAATCATATGATATGGGGCTTTCTGTGTTGGCTTCTTTCACTTAGCACAATATGTTCACGGTTCATCCATGTTGCAGCACATATCATCATTTCGTTCCATCTTCTGGTCAAATAATATTCTATTATGTGACTGTATCCCAGTTTGTTTATGCATTTATCAGTTGATTCATTCCTGGATGTATATTTGGGCTATTCCACTTTTTGGCTTTTGTGAATGATGCTATGAAAATTCATGTGGAAGTTTTTGTGTGACCATATGTTTTCAGTTCTCTCGGGCATATACCTAGGAGTGGAACTGATGAGTTGTATGGTAACTTTATGTTTAACTTTTTTGAGGACTTGCCAAAGTGACCACCATTTTATAATCCTGCCAGCAATGTATGAGGGTTCCAGCAGCTCCATATCCTTGCCAACATTTGCTATTGTCAGTCTTTTCTTTTTTAGCCATTCTAGTGAATATGAGGTGATACCTCATTGTGGTTCTGGTTTGCATTCTCTAATGACTAATGGTGTTGAGCATTTTTTCATGTAGTTATTGGCCATTTACATATCTTTTTTGGAGAAATGTTTATTCAAGTCCTCTGCTCATTTTAAATTTGGTTATTTGTCTTCTTATTGTCAAGTTTTAACAATTCTTTGGCTGTTTTGGATACTAAATCCTTATCAGATATAAGCTTTACAAATATTTTCTCTCATTCTGTAGATTTTCTTGACAGTATCCTTTGACACACAACAGGTTTTAATCTGACAAAATCTAATTTATCCATGTTCTTTTGCCATTTGTGCTTTCTATACATCTTGAGGGATGTCTTTTTTATCCCTCCATTCCCCAAAATATGTCAGAGTTTTTCAAAGCCTCCCGTGAATAGCTCATTCTCCAGTTTTTCCTTTTACAACTTTTGGTCAGTCATTTGTTAGTCTCAGTTGGTATGACTATCCAGAAGGCTGCAAGATTAAATAATTGCCACTGATTCTTTTTGACAAATGCCCTAGGGATAGCAAGCTCTGAGTGAGGTTAAATAAAGACAAGCAAAAGCCAGGCACAGTGGCACATGCCTGTAGTCCCAGCTACTCGGGAGGCCAAGGCAGGAGGATGGCTTGAGCCCAGGAGTTAGAAACTGAAATGCGCAATGAGCATGCCTGTGAATAGCCACTGAACTCTAGCCTGGGCAACACAATGAGATCCTATCTCTAAAACAAACAAGCCACGAGCATGGAACTTTTCAGGGAGCTGCCAGACAGACAAAATAACAATTCTCTGAGAGTGAGGCTTTTTAAGAGCTCCAGATCCATTTCACCCTCTCTGGTGGCTACTGGGCTGCTGATTTTCACAGCTTCCATAGTTGCAAAAGTGTTGGTTTTCATGGCTACTGCCAAGAGAGATGGGACTAGGGCAGTTAATATACCACGAAGCCTACTGTTCTTACTGAGATTCAGCTGTTTTCTTGAAATGGATTCTTGCAAGCTTTTGGTTTATTTCCCAAGTTGTGAGATAAATTTTTTGATGATATTTTCTCGTGTTCTCATTGTTTTTATGCAGGAGTGAATTTTCAGAAGTCCTTACTCTGCTGTTCAAGAGGTGCTTCTCATCTACTTGTTCTTAATAAAAGTTAGATATATCTGGAAAACAGATTAGCATCAACTGGTTAACAACATGAATTTCTAAGTCAGATCCACCTTGATTGGAATCTAAGTAACATAGCTTACTAGCTGTGTGACATTGGCCAAGTTACTTAACTTCCCTAAGTCTTAGTTTTCTCATATGTTAAATGGGATAATAGTAATGTCCACCTCATAGGATTGTTGAAAGAATCAAACTAGATGCTACATGTAAGACCCTTAGCATATCCCTAGAACCATGGTTCTAGAAAAGTGAACTATTAGCATGAACAGAACACATCAATTCGCATGAAGTTTCTTTTATTATATTTTACGTAAACACAATGGAAATATCTCATCAAACATAAACATTTGGTGTGGGGAAAGGGAAAATATCTTCTTGTTATTTTTTGTTTTGTAAAAGCCTTACCAATTTATCTATATGAAATAATGGCTTAAATAATTAAATTTTCTTTGTAATCCCTTGCATCTATATGGGATTTTGTGCCAATAACATATTGTACATATATTATCTCAATTATTCCTCACAATAATTGTATGAAGCAGGAGTCCTTAGTCCCTCAGTTTCTTGTTGAAGAAACTGAGCCTCAGAGAAGTTAAAGGACTGACCTACATTTTTTGCGAGTCAGAGGTAGAGAGTACAATTTAGGCAACTCCCGTGTAACAGAGAGAAAGTGAACATCAGAAGGGACTTAAGGAAAAGGAAACAAAATGGCATCACTATAAAAGGAAACCTACTGACACGAGGCTTTTTTAAATATTTTAAATGAACACAATGGCTGTGCTCCACCAATGTCACCACTAGATGGTGGTGTTTCCACGATCTGGAGGTCTTTTTTTTTTTTTTAATCTGTCTCACTGTTTTCCAGGCTGGAGTGCAGTGGCACGATCATGGCCAACACAGCCTCAAACTGCTGGGCTCAGATAATCTTTCCACTTCAGCCTCCTTAGTAACTGGAACCACAGGCATGCATCACCACGCCTGGCTAATTTTATTTTTTACTGTAGAGACGAGGTCTCACCAAGTTGCCCAGGCTGGTCTTGAACCCACGGGCTCAGGCAATCGTCTCACGTTGGCCTCCCAGAGGGCTGGGATTCCAGCGTGAGCCACCGTGCCTGGCCTCTGGAGATCTTTTGAGTTACCTTTCATCTGTGTAAGGAAGAAAGTCTGAGATGTTGATAAAGCCCAGCCTCGAACACATCTGCTATCACAGACACTAACTGCTGGCCTCCGTGGCCAAGCCCAGCATTTTGATTTTTGCACGTGTGTGTCCCTTCTGGTCACTAGCAACTAGAATCCCACTGACTTATCTTCTTCCTCTGCATTTGTGAATATACGTTTGATTGCTGTTTGATATCAAATAGCCAAACAGAAATCCACTGATTCTCTTAGTATGCTTCCCTCTCATAGGTTTCGAAGGAGGTCAATGAGATGACAGTAAAAATGCCATACCAGTGTTTCATCAATGGACGGTTCACGGATGCAGACGAGGGAAAGACTTACGACACCATCAACCCGACAGATGGCTCTGTGAGTATGTCATGTGCTGGTGACCACCACGCAGTTGCAACGCAGGCGTCTTCAGAAGCGTCTTTATCCTGTCACTCTGCCTCCACGCGCTTTTACAAAGGTTCTTCATGCGTTTCTTTCAACTGTTCACTTCTGGTGCAGACTGCAGTTAATGGCAGTAACCTTTTTTAAAGAATATTAAGGAAGAATTTAGACAGATGGCTATACCGATACACATCAGAGACACCCCTCCACATCAAACTATATGTAGAAACAATTTTTCAGACTTTGAAAGCTCCTGGCAAGAAATTCCGCTTCCCTGGGCACGAGAAGAACTCCACAGTCGCCCCAAATGTGTCCTTCCACGATGTCTGGGGACACGAGGAGTGCCACATTTCGGGGTTACCACGTTCATGCTTCCATTGTTCCCTTTTAAAACCTTATCCCGTGCCTTTGGGAGGCTGGGGTGAGTGGATTGCCTGAGCCCGAGGGTTCGAGACCCGCCTGGGCAACTTGGCGAGACCTCATCTCTACAATAAATCAAAAATTGAGCCGGGCGTGGTCGCGCGTGCTTGTAATTCCGGCTACTCGGAAGGCTGAGGCGGAAGGATCGCCGGAGCCCAGCAGGTCGAGGCTGCGGTGGCCGGGAGCGGCCACTGCACTCCAGTCTGGGCAACCGAATGAGACTCCAACTCAAAAAAATAAAAATAAAATAAAAATAAATAAAACCCTGTTACTGGATAGATCAATTATTCATCATACAGTTCTCTGGATTTTCTAAGTAATGCTCTATGTTTCTATGAGTATAATATTGATTCCAAGACCCATATCTGCATATCTTTCATGTAACCTATTTTTATGTGCCTTGACATAGACAATCTGCAAAGTATCTTATGCTTCTTTGGCGGATGTCGATAAGGCGGTGGCAGCAGCAAAAGATGCTTTTGAACACGGTGAATGGGGAAGAATGAATGCAAGAGAGAGAGGAAGACTGATGCACAGGTATGCTTTTTAGAAAAGCAAGTCTCGTGCTTGCTTCAGCAGCGCATATACTAAAATCGAAACGATACAGAGATTAGCACGGCCCCTGCGCAAGGACGACATGCAAATTCGTGAAGCCTTCCATGTTTTTTTAAAAAAGCAAAGCAAGTCTGCTACCTTTGGATATCGGCTAGCACTGCCAGGATCCCCAAAATTCCCACAAAACATTCCAGTAGGCACCTATTATGAAATATGTCTTCTGTGACTTGAATCATACGGAATCGTCTTGGGATTCAGTCATCAAATCCCATAGCTGTGAATTCCTGATTTTATATGACTGCTTGGACCAAAGGGTCCCAGTAGGAAGGTAAGTTTAATAAGGGATTATCTGAAAGATGTGGGCAAGTTCAAGGGACTCCAATAAAAAGTAATGAAGCATCCCAGGCAGGGCCAGTGGCAGGAGAAAGCTGCCACCCCTCCAAGGGTCAGAGGAAGGAGCCATGACTAGAATCTGGCAACTTCTGCAGCTGTAGAAGAAGACGACACTGCCGTGGTCTTTGGTGAAGGGACACACCAGCGGTTGGACCACAGCCTGTCAGTGAAGGAGCCAGGGAATTGAACTCCCTGAGCACTTTCGCCTTCGGTTCACCAGCCTCTTGCAGGCCTCCCGTGGCCTCCCATTGGCCAAGCCCAGTGAGAGCAGGGAAGCCAGGTGATGTAGCCTGTGAAGGTCATCCTCCAAGGTCACAGAGCAGGACTGAGAATGGATTCAGAGTAGCAAAGGGAGACCACTGTTTTCAAAGACAAATTTTAAATCTTGTTTATGTGTAGACCCTAGGAACAAGGGAAAAAAATTACTAAGGCCAGTAACGAAGTATGCCAGGAATCATCAGATTCGATCACAAAGTCCTATTTTCTGCTTACTAGAACCAAATATTTGGCCTAGGTCCAAGGAGCTCTTACAGCAAGATCTGGAAGAAACATTAGGGCAGGGGGATTTCAAGTTTGATTCTAGAACGGCCCAAAAGGGAACAGCTCAGAGAACCACGGAAGGAAGGAAGGAAGGGAGGGAGGGAGGGAGGAAGACAAATGGAGGAGATAAACACAAAAGATGAACTTTTACTATTTCATTGTCATCATACCGTCCTGCACTTATCTTCCCAGAGAAAGTGAACACCAAGCACAAGTCGGTTGTAGTGTCCGTATTTCATCCCCTACGTTTCTGTCTTGTCCTCTTGAGTTCATGCTGGCAATATTTTCGTACCATCCAGAAATCCTCAAGTGTTCGTGTGTCCTCCAAAGGTGTGGGTTTTGCTCTAACATCTCCCGGTACGTTCATGACCTCTCTCCTTTTCCGAAGTTTTCTGCCATTGATCTCTTTGGATAACCGTGGCTCAGTCATTGCTCCCCTTTTTTTTTTTTTTTTTTGAGTTGGAGTCTCACTTCATTTCCCAGGCTGGAGTGCAGTGGCACGCTCATGGCCACCCCAGTGTCGACCTGCTGGGCTCCGGCGATCCTTCTGCCTCAGCCTTCCAAGTAGCCGCAACTACAGGCCGGCGCTCCCACGCCCGGCTAATTTTTGATTTCTTGTAGAGACGCGGTGTCGCCAAGTTTCCCAGGCTGGTCTCGAACCAGTGGGCTCAGGCAATCCACTCGTCCCGGCCTCCCTGAGTGCCGGGATTACAGGCTGAGCCACCAAGCCCGGCCTGCTTCACTTCTTATACATATGTGAGGCAAGTGATTTATGCTTCCAACACCCACTCTCTTCTCTTTTGCAACTCTTGAAACACATTGTTTATTAAAGCATTTGGTTGTTTTTGTTTGTTTGTTTTAGAAAGGAGGGTTTATTAAGAGGACATTGAAAAGCTCCCACAGTGGGAGGGGACCCCAGGGGGTTGCCCAAAAGCATTTGTTTAATGTCTGTCTTCCCTACTGGATCATGATCCCCGTGGTGGCAGAGACCTGGTCCATTTGTGTTCACCTCTGAATTTTCAGTCTTTAGGATACTGTGTTGTGTGAAATAGGAGTTCAACCAACATTTGTTGAATGACTTTCTTTCCCTGGCCATACAGACTTGCAGACCTACTGGAAGAGAACCAAGAGGAGCTGGCAACCATTGAAGCCCTGGATTCAGGGGCGGTCTATACCTTGGCTCTGAAGACTCACATTGGAATGTCTGTGCAAACATTCAGATATTTTGCTGGCTGGTGTGACAAAATTCAAGTAAGCACAAATGTTCTTTGTTCTGAAGGGAAAAGGGACTGACATTCATTAGATTGTACCGGGCACTGTGTTGGATCCACCTTTTATGTAGGGGTTTTTTTTTTAACCTACATAACAAGGTTGTCTTAGTCTGCTTTGTACTGCTGTAACAGAATACCTGCGGCTGGGTAATTTATAAAAAACAGAAATTGATTCTCTCATAACTCTTGAGTCGGGAAGTCTAAGATCCAGAAGCCAGCAGGTTTGGTCTCTTGTTTTAAGATGGCGCCTTGGTTGCTGGGACCTCTGAAGAGGAAGAGCACTGTGTCCTCCGTGGCAGAAGAGCAGAGAGAGTGAAGCCACTCCTGCAAGCCCTTTGGATAGTGGCATTCATTCATTCATGAAGGTGGAGCCTTCATGGCCTAAAGACCTCCTGCTAGGCCCCACCTCCCAACACTGTTGTTTTAGGGGTGAGGTTTTCAGCACATGAATTTTGGGGGACACTTTCAGATCATAGCAAGGGTTATAAACAACCACATAGCTAAGCGGATAGCTATCAGCCCCTCGTGACAGATAAGGAAACAGACTCGAGGGAGTGAATGCCTCTCCTATAATCCATAGCAAGTAAACCACAGAGCCAGGGCTGAACTCAGAGTTTTCTAGGGTGTATCTAATAGTCTTCCAGATGTTTGGGGGATCCCGTTATCATGAATTTGCAAATTCAAATGTCCACAGAGGCCGGAGAGCTGATGTAGACAGTGGAAGCAGACTCATTAGGAGAACAATTTTGATAAAGACACAGATACCATAAGTATTTTGTTTTCCTTTTACTAAAAGATAACAGATAGCACACGTGGGATGATAAAGAGCAGCAACACTGGCCTCAGTACTAGGGAAGCAAAAGGGAAAGGGAGGGCTTGTAGCAAACTGCAGAATGCATGCCGCTCGTAGACTCATGACCCCTGCAGTGCCAGACATCACAGCCACATGCCCAGCAGCAAGAAGGGGGATTGGGCAAAGGAACTGAAGAAGCACTCCCACCCTCCTAATGCCCTGAGCTTAAATCTCCCCTTGGTCATCTGTATTTGTGGAGGAGGCTGGGAAACCATTTCATTTCATTTCATTTCGTTTCATTTCATTTCATTTCATTATTTCATTTCATTTCATTATTTCATTTCATTTCATTATTTCATTTCATTTCATTATTTCATTTCATTTCATTATTTCATTTCATTTCATTATTTCATTTCATTTCATTATTTCATTTCATTTCATTTCATTTTTGAGTTGGAGTCTCACTCTGTTGTCCAGGCTAGAGTGCAGTGGCACGCTCCCCGGCCACTGCACCCTTGACTTGCTGGGTTCAGGCAATCCTTCCGCCTCAGCCTTCCAAGTAGCTGGAACTACAAGTGTGCGCTACCACACCCAGCTAATTTTTTGATTTATTGTAGAGACAAGTTCTCACCATGTTGTCCAGGCTGGTCTCAAAATTGCGGGTTCAGGCAATCTTCTTGCCTTGGCCTCCCAAAGTGCTGGGATTATAGGCTTGAGCCACTGACCCGGCCAAAACATGGCATTTTATTTGGGTGCATTTCCGCCATCAATGCTAATATAGAGTCAGAGACCTGGATCCAAGTCTTAGCTTTGCCACTTATCAGATGATGTTGCCAGTTTTTTTGTCTCTCTGAGTCTTGCTTTCCTCGTCTGTAAAATGGTCACAAAAATACATACCTTGCAAATTATGTTAGGAAGACTGGAAACAAGTATTTATATACTGTGGGATTAGACAAGTCCGTAACACAGTGGGTCTTGCACAAAAAGGAAATTTTTATTATGAGCCAGTCACAAAGTCATGCATATATTGGAATTTAGTAGTGGTAGTTCAGGTCCATGCCTTATCCCTAATTGTGAAAACTGATTGGTATGATTGGTTCAAACTTATGTGGTGCCAAACTCAGACCTGAATGAACATAAATCTATTTCTAGTCTTTATTTATGTCACTTACAGTGAATACTGACATGTTTCACTGAATAAATATCAATGTATTTGATTACGGGGTGCTGCCCCAAGTACTACTGGAGGTAGTAGATGTAACACACTATAAGGCATATGAATTCTATCATGTTTCTAAAGTGCAAACAGTCCTGAATTCCAAGACATACCTGACCACAAGAGTTTCAAAAAAGAGGCAGTACACTTGTGTTAGTAATAGCAACAAGATTTCATGTGACAAAGCAAGCTAATGGCTTCAGTTAGAGAATACTACTGTGCTTCAGTTAGAATGAAGTTTGGCTGCACATAACAGAAAACCCAAGTAAGAAGTTTATTTTTCTCTCACCTCCAAGGAGTCCAAAGACAGACAGACAGGACTAGTATGTGAGATGCAGGCTCCTACTCTTTCACTGCTTGGCTATCCTTAGTATCATATTATCTCCACCCTCTCAAGGCTGTCTCGTGGTCTCAATATAACCACTGCTGTGCCAGCCCTTTCAGCAACAGTCTGAACAGAAGGAAGGAGGACATGGCAGTGGAGGGAAGGGCACAAAAGCACTTGTCCAGGCTGAGTTATCCTTTAAAGAGCATTCCCCTTCCACTACCTTGTGCTTATACCTTTTTTATTTTTTGAGTTGGTCACTCTGTCACCCAGGCTGGAGGGCAGTGGCACGCTCACAGCCACCGCAACCTTGACCTGCTGGGCTCAGGCGATCCTTCTGTCTCAGCCTTTCAAGTAGCTGGAACTACGGGTGCCCACCACCATGCCTGGCTAATTTTTTATTTATTTATTGTAGAGATGAGGTCTCACCAAGTTGCCCAAGTTGGTCTCAAACCCCTGGACTCAGGTGATCCTCTTACCTTGGCCTCCCAAAATGCTGAGATTACAAGCTTGAGCCACCTTGCCTGGCACACCTTTTATTTACCATACCTGTCAACAATAGAGACTGGGAAACTCATTATTTTATCTGAACACATTGCAGTTTCTACTATTAATTAGTAACAGAAGGGAGAGTGAATATTGGTCAACTTATTAACATTCTCTGCCATGCCAGGAGATAGAGACTGGGGGGTGACTAAGTTAGAATTGCTTATGCTCCTGTGTTTCATTGTCCTTTTGAGAAAGGAATGGCAGTTCCATTTTTTTTTTTTTTGAGTTGGAGTCTCACTGTCACCCAGACTGGAGTGCAGTAGCCGCTCCCGGCCACCGCAGCCTTGACCTGCTGGGCTCCGAGGATCCTTCTGCCTCAGCCTTCCAAGGAGGTGGAACAATAAGCGCGTGCTACCACACCCGGCTAATTTTTTGATTTACTGTAGAGATGAGGTCTCACCAAGTTGCCCAGGCGGGTCTCGAACCCGCGGGCTCAGGCAATCCACTCACCTCAGCCTCCCAAGGCACGGGATTACAGGCTGAGCCACCGAGTCCGGCTTAGTTCCATTTTTGATGTGGATATTTCTTGTAAAACAAAGACTGCTTTTCATATCAGCTTAAAAAAAATAAGAGAAAGACAGAAAATGGATTCCTTGAGATTAAATTTACTAATTTAAATTAGTAAAATGAGTATTAACCTTTCTTCTGCTTTAGGGGTCTACAATTCCAATTGACCGGGCCCGTCCAAATCGCAACTTGACCTTCACCAAGAAGGAGCCACTGGGGTAAGCTGAGGAGAGCGCCTCTGAGTGACTCATGACTCGGGTTAGTTTGAGACACCTAAGGATGTCGAGTTTCTTCCCCCTCGCAGCGTCTGTGCCATTATCATCCCCTGGAACTACCCGCTGATGATGCTGGCGTGGAAGAGCGCGGCGTGTCTGGCGGCAGGCAACACCTTGGTGCTCAAACCGGCACAGGTAGGGTGCCAGGGCCAGGCGTGGCATCGCCTCCTCTCCTGTGTACGGGACTTAAGAGTAGAGACATTCATTTATAAACAGAATGGCTAACAAAAACCTGGTCATGCATCAAGGACAACTTTTACATTCGTCAATATTCTGTTTTTGGGTTTTTTTTAGGTGGAGTCTCACTCTGTCACCCAGGCTGGAATGCACACTCACGGCCACCCCAGCATCGACCTGCTGGGATCCGGCGATCCTTCTGCCTCAGCCTGCCAAGTAGCCAGAACTACAGGCACGCGCTACCATGCCCGCTAATTTTTTATTTACTGTAGAAGCAAGGTCTCGAACCCGCAGGCTCAGGCAGTTCATTCACCTCGGCCTCCCATAGTGCTGGGATTACAGGCTGAGACACCGAGCCGTTTTTAATAGCTACCTAATGCATTGTATGGAGATTCCATAATTTAAAACGTCCATGACAAAGGAAGCAAGCATAGTGTACATCAGTGAAATCCACTGACTCCCTACAAACCAGTTCGATTCTTGCAAACGCCAAGTGCCCAAGAATTCGGGAATTATTTAGAGTAATTATGAGACATCAAAAGAAAAAGTATTATGCAGACATTCAGATCTAGTTATTGGCTCGTGCCTGTAATCCCAGCACTTTGGGAGGCCAAGGCAAAAGGATTGCTTGAGTCCAGGAGTTTGAGACCAGCCTGGGCAACTGGTGAGACCTTGTCTCTACAAAAAGGAAAAAAAGAAACTAGCCAGGTGTGGTGGCATACACCTGTAATCACAGCTACTTGGGAGGCTGAGGATTGCCTGAACCCAGGAGGTCAAGGCCGTGGTAAGCAGTGACAATACCACTGCATTCCAACCTGGCTGACAGAGTGAGATCTCAACTCAAAAAAAAAAAAATCGTCAAAAATATAGTAAAAAGATGGAAAATGAGGGAAAAGCACAGAGGGGAAAGTACATAATTGCGGCAGCTGTGTAAAAATATATCCATATGGATAACAAGGAAGTACTTTTAAAAATAGTTCTTGTAGTTCTCAAAAAATCTTTTAATGCTACAATAGTTTTTTACAAAGAAAAAACATGGTAGCTAGTTTAACACTGGCTGAACATTTACTATGTACAGTACACAGTAGTAGGAATTCTGAGGTGTGTAAGTCATGGAGAAAACTTGGTCTCTTTTCTGGAAGAGTTAACAATTTGTTACTCTTCTTTTAGAACTTAAAAAATACAGTTTCGTTTGGCATAGCTCCATGGTCACATGGCCACAACCATCTTGTTTTACTCATTTAAAAAATTTCACTAAAAATAGATATACATTTGACATTTTTAAAGTTCAAAAGATATAATTAGGCATATAGCGAAAAGATTCCCTTATCCTTATTCCCCAGCCAACCAGTTTACCCAGAGGCAACGCATGTTATCAATTGTTATCTATTAGTTTCTTAAGTAGTCCAGAGATAATCTCTACATATACAAATGTGCATATATATATATATATACATATATATTAGTAATCAAAGGGCATAAAACTCCAAATATGCAAGATGAATAAGTTCTAGAAGTCTGCTGGGCAGTATTTGTTTCTATAATTAACAAAACTATTTTGTACACTTAAAAACGTGTTAAGGCTGGGTTCGGTGGCTCAACCTGTAATCCCAGCACTTTGGGAGGCCAAGGTAAGTGGATTACCTGAGCCTGCAAGTTTGAGACCAGCCCAGGCAACTTGGCGAGACCCTGTCTCTACAATTTAAAAAAAAAAGTGTTAAGAGAGTAGATATTAAATGTTCTTACCACCATAAAATAAACTTTTAAAAACGCACACAAAAATAGCACTCGGTATGCTTACTGAAGGAAAAAATTCTTCCTTTTTTGTTAACAGTTTCCATTGTATAGATAAAACATATTTTATTGGACCAATCTCTAATTATTGATATTAAAATTTTTCCCTCCTTGTGCTAGTATAAACTATCCTGCAGTTAATAGCCTTATAAATATGGTATCATACACACGGTCAAGTATATTTACAGGATATGTTTCTTTTTCTTTTTTTTTTTTGAGTTGGAGTCTCACTCTGTCACCCAGACTGGAGTGCAGTGGCCGCTCCCGGCCACCGCAGCCTGGACCTGCTGGGCTCCGGCGATCCTTCCGCCTCAGCCTTCCAAGTAGCTGGAATTCCAGGCACATGCTACCATGCCTGGCTGATTTTTTGATTTTATTGTAGAGATGAGGTCTCGCCAAGTGGCACAGGTGGGTCTCGAATCCGCGGGCTCAGGCAATCCCCTCTCCTCAGCCTCCCAAAGCGCGGGATTACAGGCTGAGCCACCAAGCCCGGCTAGGATATGTTTCTAATAGCAGAATCACTTAGTTAAAAGATGCATGCAGGCCAGATGCGGTGGCTCATGCCTATAATCCCAGTACTTTAGAAGGCCAAGGTGAGAGGATTGCCTGAGTCCACAGGTTCAAGACCAGCCTGGGCAACTTGGCAAGACCTCATCTTTACAATAAATAACTTTTTAAAAAATTAGCTGGGTGTGGTAGCACACATACCTATAGTCCCAGCTACTTGGAAGACTAAAGTGGAAGGATCGCTGGATCCCAGTAAGTCAGTGCTGAGGTGGCCTTGAGAGTGCCACTGCACTCCAGCGTGGGCGATGGAGTGAGACTCCAACTTGAAAAAAGAAAAAGAAAATATTACTTAACGTTTTGCTTCTGAGATTTGCATTGCTGTAGTAGATGTTTACACTTTGGGCTAGGAGTGAACCCTAGCGAAAGCCACACTGTGCCATCTTTTGTGTGATAAAGGAGGGAAAATGAGGAAATATGTATTTTCTCATTTGAACAAAAAGAAACATGAGAAAGATAAACCGGAGACTAATGAAACTGATTATCTACAGTACATAGGCGGGGCGTGGGGAGTGGTGTGGGAAGGAGGGCACACATCTTTGAATGGACCTTTTGAAAGTCCTGACTTGTGGAAGCTTATTTCCCACACTCACTGACAACAAAGAAAAGAAATATAGTCAGCACAGATGGGGCCAAAATCCCCAAACTGAATACAAACAAAAATTAATTAAGCTGTAGTTCAAGTGAATAACATAACCCCATTGAAAGGGGAGAAGAAGCACAACTCAAGTAACTTTTTTAGTCTGGATCTCACTCTGTCGCCCAGGCTGGTGTGCAGTGATGCGGTCCTGGCTCACTGGACCCTCCAGAGCTCAGGCAGTCCTCCCACTCAGCCTCCCAAGTATCTGGGACTACAGGTAGACACCATCACACTTAGCTAATTTTTTTTTTTTTTTTTTAGAAATGGTGTCTTGCTTTGTTGTACAGGTTGGTCTCAAACTTTGGATTCAAGCAATTCTCCCACCTTGGCCTCCCAAAGTGCTGGGATTACAGGTGTTAGCCACCATGCCCATCCCAAGTAACTTTTAAATAATGTTTGGATATGTACTCAGACTAATGATAGTCACACACACACACACACACATACACACACACACACACATACACACACACACACACACACACACACATAAATATTGTACTCTAGTTAATAGGCTTTTTTTCCCCATAGGAACATGGATTAACAGTTCTCAAAGTACTTTCTCTACATTTTAAGATTAAGCAAATAAGTAAATATACTGTGGATAATGGGAGTCATGTCTCTCCAAAAGGAGGACAGCCCTGAGATGCTGGATAGAGGTCCTAGTTTAAACTCATGGGTTTTAATATATTTAGATAGCTAAATAAAGAAGTGAACATGGGTGTACGTGGGAGTAGATACACACACGTATGTATGTATGTTTTGCATGTGCATATGGGTGGATATAAGTGCTTCTGTCTCCTGACTTTCTCTGCTGAGAGGGCAATGACATCTCGATAGTGTCCGGATATCTTGGTTTCCAAATACTATCCTTTGCTAAAAGAAACCTGGGCTCCTTGGAGAAGTGACTGGAGCAGGGACAATTCAAGATGAGCTTAGAACATCCTACTGGGCCAAAAAGCAAGAAACTGCTCAAAGAATGAGAGGGTCACATCAGAGGAACACAGGAACCACACTGAAGGGGCTCCCGTCAACCAGATCTGAAATAGTCTGAACATCAAAATCAATAAGCACAATGAAAGATGATGACTCACTGAATAAAGTAAGAATCCCAGAGTTCACACCGATATTAATCAATTAAAGGAAAAGGGGCTGGGCTCGGTGTCTCAGCCTGCAATCCCAGCACTTTGGGAGGCCGAGGCGAGTGGACTGCCTGAACCCATGGGTTCGACACCAGCCCGCGCAACTTGGCGAGACCTCGCCTCTACAATAAATCAAAAAATTAGCTGGGTGTGGTAGCGCATGCCTGTAGTTCTGGCTACTCGGGAGGCTGAGGCGGAAGGATTGCTGGAGCCCAGCAGGTCGATGCTGGGGTGGCCATGAACATGCCACTGCACTCCAGTCTGGGCGACAGAGTGAGACTCCGACTCAAAAAAAAAAAAAAATAGTAATAATAAAGAAAAAGGAAAACTTTTATTGTGGAGAGCCAACTAATACATGTAGAAGGAAGGATGGAGCCAGAGAATCACCATTTGTCGATCTCCATAAGAATAATTGATTTCAAGCAGGAACCATCAATGGATACGAAAACTAGTCAATGAAAGATCAAGGAGTACCTCCCTACAAAAGATTTATTAATTACCATGAGTGAAAGTAATTTACAGTGATGAAAGTTGGCAGGCCACATTTACCGAGTGACCCAAGTTAGCATTTCCAGACTGTTCCAGCATGTACCCCCTGGCTGAGGCCCTGGGAAGAGTTCAGCATCCCTCCAGGGTACTATTGCCAAAAGCACATAACCTGAACCTAGTCAGGAGGAAACATCAGACAAACGCAGACAAAGGGACATTGTATGAAGCAACTGGCCTGTACTTTTAGATGTCCGTGTACTGAAATAGAAAAGAAAACTCAGACACTCTCCCAGGTTAGTGGCAACGACAGATATAACTAACTGTCATGGGTAATCTTGGATTTTCTTTTGCTATAAAATGCATCATTGGGAAAACTGAAAAAAGAATCTGAGTCAGGTCTATAAAGTAAGAATTCTACCAGTTGTTAACATCTTGTTTTTGATAACTGAGCTATAATTACGTAAAAGAATTTCTTGCTTTTGGGAAATGCACGTGGACGTATTTAGAGGTAAAGTGTTTATGTATATTTTACTCTTAAACAGTTCAGAAAATTATATATAGAAAGATAGAGCAAAGAGAGTAAAATGCTAACTTTTGAGAAATCTGAGTCAAGGGTATGTAAGGAACTCCTTGTACTATTTTTTGCAATTTTGCTGTGAATCTGAAATCATGTCCAAATAAAAAAATTAAAGCAATGCAAAATAAAAAGAAAATGAGCTCTAGTACAGCCGTCAAGGGAAAATTGGGGGCTAGTCCCTAGGGAAGGAGAGAGTCTGGAGCCAGTAATTGCTGCCTGCTTCTGCTCAGGTCACGCCCCTGACGGCGTTGAAGTTTGCAGAGCTCTCTGCGAAGGCAGGCTTCCCGAAGGGGGTCATCAATATCATTCCGGGTTCAGGTAAGCCACTAAATGACCCACTTTGGGGTGACTGACATAATGGCACAGGGGTAGCTGGGTGGCTGTTTTCCTGCAGGAGACTTGTCCTAAATTATAACTGTTTTAAAACTAAAAACCGTTTACCAGACAATTAAGGACAGATATATGTACCACGTACTAAAATCTTAAAGTGGAAATACAGCGATAAGGGATAAGTGGCAAGGGCTGGGAGGATTGCACAACGTTATAAAACTACCCAAGGGGTCCATTTCGATTTTCTTTCTTTTTTTTTTAATTTAATTTAATTTTTTAAATTATTATTATTTTTTGAGTTGGAGTCCCACTCCGTCGCCCAGACTGGGGTGCAGCAGCCACTCTCGGCCACCGCAGCCTCGACCTGCTGGGCTCCGGCGATCCTTCTGCCTCAGCCTTCCAAGTAGCCGGAATTACAGGCACGCGCCACCATGCCCGGCTGGTTTTTTATTTATCGTAGAGATGAGGTCTCGCCAAGTTGCCCAGGCAGGTCTTGAACCCGTGGGCTCAGGCAATCTACTCACCGGCCTTCCAAAGCGCTGGGATTACAGGCTGAGTCACCGAGCCCAGAGTCGATTTTCAAAAACAGCTCTGGAAGATAAATGCCACGGATTACCCATCGTGATGTTGGAGATCTGACAGCTACAGAGAGGATATTATTTTAGACGTCTGTCAGTTTGCAATCAATACAGAAAATGTAAAACTAAGGCTTTCAGAGAGAACTTAGAAATCTACACGTGGGTTCGAGACCCGCCTGGGCAGCGAGACCTCATCTCTACAATAAATCAAAAAATCAGCCGGGCGTGGTAGCGCGTGCCTGTAATTCCAGCTACTCGGAAGGCTGAAGCGGAAGGATCACTGGAGCCCAGCAGGTCGAGGCTGCGGTGGCCGGGAGCGGCCACTACCCTCCAGTCTGAGACAGAATGAGACTCCAACTCAAAAAAAAAAGAAATCTACGGCAGTGAATTCAAAGCCACCCTCACCATAGGAACTTGGGAAATGTCTGAATTCACATTGCGTTCCCCAATCCCACAGGTGGCGTGGCAGGACAGCGCCTTTCTGAGCATCCTGACATCCGCAAACTTGGTTTCACTGGCTCCACTCCTATTGGCAAACAGATCATGAAGAGGTATTGGTTTTAGTACGTTGATTTGCTGCAGACCCTGTTAAACCAGGTTTCTATTTTTATTTAAATAGGTTGCTTTTGGAATGAAAAAAAAAATGTCAAATTTAGAAGAGAAATCTACTTATCACTGTTGGGTATTGAAATATTTGAATGTAATAAAATATTTTCCACGGTCAATAAAACTGAAACAACATTGAATTTCTACACCCTACTGAGAGCTTTAACAATCCAACACAAAAGATTTTCTGTATCAAAGCTGTGACCCAAATTGTTTTTGAGGCATAAGAAACTTAAAAAAATATATGTAAATGACAGACTTATATGTTGTGTATGACAAGTCTGTATTATTTAAAGACTGGACTCCCAAAAAAGCAGTAATATATAATTTTTAAATTGCAAACAACCTAAAACAAGGCAATAAACTATGTCAGTGTAATGGAATACTGTGAGATCATGTTCATGGACAATTTTTTGTTTTTTCGGGTTGGAGTCTCACTCTTTTGCTCAGGCTAGAGTGCAGTGGCACACTAAGGGCCACTGCAGCCTCGACCTACTGGGCTCAAGCTATCCTTCCACCTCAGTCTTGCAAGAAGCTAGATCTACAGGCGTGCACCACCACATCTGGCTAATTTTTTGATTTATTGTAGAGACGAGGTCTTGCCAAGTTGCCCAGGCTGGTCTCAAAGTGCTAGGCTCAGGCAATCTTCTCATCTTGGTCTCCCAAAGTGCTGGGATTACAGGCGTGAGCTACCATGCCCGGTGACATTTTTTAATAACATTGAAAAGTGTTTAAATGATAAATATTTTTAAAAAGTATAAAGTTGTATACATTGAGTGATTTCAACTATATTAAACAAGGCAAAGCTATGATGGGACATAGTTTGGAGGTAAATAATATATCAAAATGGTAGAAACAGTGATCACTGAGCCATGACATGGAATCCTGTGATTTTTTTCTTCTGCCTGCATTTTTGGGGGGATAGTTTCAAAATGTTTTAAATAAGAATCTTTTTGTAGGCCAGAAGCAGTGGTTCACGCCTATAATCCCAGCACTCTGGGAGGCCGAGGTGAGAGGATTGCCTGAGCCCACGAATTCAAGACCAGCCTGGGCAACTTGGCAAGACCTCATCTCTACAATATATCAAAAAGTTAGCTGAGTATGGCGGTATGTACCTGTAGTTCCAGCTACTTAGAAGGTTGAGGTGTAAGGATTGCCTGAGCCCAGCAGGTGGAGGCTGCGGTGGCCATGAGAGTGCCACTGCACTCCAGCCTGAGCAACAGTGAGACACTGATTCAAAAAAAAAAAAATCCTTTTGTAAGAATGGGGAAATAACATGCTTATAAAAATTGGTAATTCCCTGTCCTCTTCCCCCATGCTCCGGTAGTCTGGTTAGAGGTTAAATTCCTTGCCAGGACTTTTTGGAACCAAAATTTCTAAAGAATATGAATTAACTCATCATTTGATTACAAGATTTCGAATAAAATCTTTTTATTATGGAAAATGTGTAATATATACAAACCAGCAGAAAGGCATAATAAAGTGCACGTGCACATCACCCAGCTTCAGCAGGAATCACCTTTCTACATTCATGTTTGTCTTTGGATATGTTTCTTAATATTTTGAGGCTCAGTCGTGTTTTCCTTGCCAAAGGGTAATTTATGGTTGAAAAGGCAAGGAGAGGAGGGAGGGAGGAAGAGGGAGAGAGAGGCAGACTAAATGTTCATTTCTCATTTATTTTCCTACAGCTGTGCTGTGAGCAACTTGAAGAAAGTTTCCCTTGAACTTGGTGGCAAGTCCCCACTTATAATATTCAGTGACTGTGAACTTGACAAGGCCGTGCGAATGGTAAGAGTGGGTCAAACCCAAGTAAACAGGTGCCTGCTTCTAAAACACAGCTCACCTCCTTCTTTATCTGAGGTCTTTTTTTTTTTTTCTTTATGAGAAAGTAGGATTTATTAAGAAGATAGAAAAGCTTCCACAGAGGAAGAGGACTTGAAAGAGGTTGCCCTCTCTGAGGTCTTTAAATGAGATTTGGTTTTGTCTAGTCATAAATAGAAACCACCCTTTTTATGCTTAGATTTGGGAATACTCGGAGCACTTAATTGTTAAAAATAATTTCTTTATAATTTTTCCTATTAAAGTGTTTTTAAAACAGGCTGTAAAGTCATAGCAGTTGTATCAAAAAGCTCAAAAGATACTCAAGTGGGACATCTAGCCTCCCTCTCCTTTCCCAGAAACGTCTCATTTCATCAACCTGAACTGCTCTACTTTTATCTGTTTTACAAACTGAGCTTCTGGTGAGATTGTTAGACACAATAAAAAGGTCTAAAAAGTAGTTGGCAACATCAGTTTCCTGGTTTTAACAATGTAGCATTGTTTGTAAGATGTTGCCATGGGGGAGACTGGATGAAGAATAGAAAGAACTCTTGTGCGATATTTCTGCAGCAGCTTTTGAGTCTTAAACTATTTCAAAGTATAAAAATTTAGTTTAAATGAAACTGAAAGGTCAACAAAAACATTGGCTCCGCCCTCATTCTTCATTTCTGAGCTATTGGCTTAAAGGAAGCCAATGCTGGGTGTGGGCTGTGCAAAACTTTCTTTTCAATCTGGCAGAAACCTAGCATCTTTCCAGTTCTGTGCATTCTCCCAGCCTATGCACTGAACACGGTCATTTCACCAGTCCTCCGAACTGTGATTTTTTTTTTTTTGAGTCGGAGTCTCACTCTGTTGCCCAAGCTGGAGTGCAGTGGCTCACTCACAGTCATCCCAGCCTCAACCTGCTGGGCTCCAGCGATCCTTCAGCCTCAGCCTTCCAAGTAGCTGGCACTACAGGCATGCACTGCCACACCCGGCTAATTTTTGGATTAATTGTAGAGATGAGGTCTTGCCAAGTTGCCCAGGCTGTTCTCGAACCTGTGGGCTCAGGCAGTCCCCTTACCTCGGCCTCCCAAAGTGCTGGGATTACAGGTTTGAGCCACCGTGCCCGGCCCCGAACTATGATTTTTAACGAACACCCACATCCAGACCTCATCATGCAAGGGCCCTAGAGCAATGGGAGTGAAGAACAAGCACTCCTGTGGTCCAGGACTATGGAGGGGCCATCCAGAGGGGTCGGTGACAGGCAATGGCTGGGGGACACCAACTGACGTCGGGATAGGACTCCCCTGCGTATCTGGGTTTCTGAGAGCCTAGCAGAGAGAAGACTGAGGAAAAGAAAATAAAGGGAAAGGGAAGCTTTTTTCTTTATATACCATAGTCTATTAACTTTTTAACATTTTTTAATTTTTTGAGTTGGAGTCTCACTCTGTTGCCCAGGCGGGAATGCGGTAGCACGATCACAGCTCACCATAGCATTGGCTTCCTGGTCTCAGGCGATCCTTCTGCCTCAACCTCCTGAGTAACTGGGACTATAGGTGTATGCCACCACATTCAACTATTTTTTTTTTTGGTAGAGATGAGGTTTCCCTATGTTGCGTAGGCTGGTCTTGAACTCCTGGCCTCCCAAAGCACTGGGATTACAGGCACGAGCCACTGCGCCTGGCCAGTTAATGTTTTTGAAAACCCCAAGCTGGAAGTTCATCTTCACTAGATATCTCACTTTCCTTATTGAATAACAAGAATAAAGAGGAATTAATAACAGTTGCTAATTGTAAGCAAGGAGAAAGCCCCAGTGTAATGTTGAAAAGAGTAGCGAACTACTCTTTCCTTTTCCCTAGAGTTGAATATCCATAGTGAGTTTGCTATTAGCCACCCTCAGACTCTGCAGGATAGAACAATATAACATTAGAGGGCTCTGGTTCCCACCGCTTAAGAACCCATAATCCAAGATGGGCAACATATTTTGGAAATAATTAAAGGTAATAAAATATATGCATAGGAAATGGAAAAACATGTGATTTCAAAGCATCCATTATAATTTTTGTCCAGTCCAGGGAGATTTCCTGGACTTAGAAAAGAAAGATGCACACAATCCATCAGTCTTCCAAATCTGTCATTTCCGAGGGCCTTCATTTCGAAGACTCTTCCAACTTCTCCTTGAAAAACAGATATTCCTTTTCATGGAAGGGGAATTGTAGAGGTGCTCTAAAAATTCATGATTTAGACAAGCTAATGTAGAGGTTTTAAAAAGTAAAACTTATCATACAAGTGAATGCATTTAAATATATAGAATAATCTAGATTTTCTTGCAACACAAAATTTGTTTTTAATGATATATCATTATTGTTATACACATTTATTTAAATTGAAGGGGAGAAAGAAGAAAAAGTATCCCCCAAAACATGCTTCATCAAAACTGAGCTCTCACGCATAAGTGGACCTTGAACAATTGTGGTAATACTATAAGAAAAGATTGGCAGTAGAGGGAATCTGCCGGAGCAGGGGGAGCACACCTCATCAATAAGGGTATCTGCATAATGAACATTTGTATACCTAACCCTGAACTGTACTCCACATCTTTTTTTTTTTTTTTTGGAGTTGGTGTCTCACTCTGTCGCCCAGGCTGCTCCCGGCCACCACAGCCTCGACCTGTTGGGCTCCGGCAATCCCTCCGCTTCAAACTTCCAAGGAGCTGGAACTACAGGCGTGCACTACCACGCTGGGCTAATTTTTGATTTATTGTAGAGACAAGGTCTCACCAAGTTGCCCGAGTGGGTCTCGAACCCGCAGGCTCAGGCAATCCACTCGCCTCGGCCTCCTAAAGTGCTGGGATTACAGGCTGAGCCACCGAGCCCGCCCTGTCCTCCACATCTTTAAAATTAAAAATTTTTTTAATGTCCTGGGAAAAACAAAACATAAACAAAAACTGATGATCTCCAAACAGCTCTCCTCACTAGCAAGGCCAAGAGGACTGACTGCAACTTCTCCATATTATCTCCTGTTTTCCGATGACACCTCTTTCTCTGTGTGCACAATTTTATGACCATCTTGGCGGCTCAGATAACATCAACAATATTTTCCCTTCTGTTGTCAAAGGGCATGGGAGCAGTATTCTTCAACAAAGGAGAGAACTGCATTGCAGCTGGGCGGTTGTTTGTGGAAGAATCCATCCACGATGAATTTGTGACGAGAGTGGTGAGGCAACTTCAGATTTGCTCCATGAGTTGTATAGAGACTGCTTTGACTTGAGAAGTAGTTCTAAGATTGTTAAGGAGTTTTTAGGTATGATAGCAATATTGTGATGATGTTTTTAAAAGTCAGACCTTATGTTCTACAGCTACATTTTGACATATTTAAGGATTAAATTATATAGTGTCTGGAATTTGCTTCAAAATATCCCAGGAGGAAAGGAAGTCAGTAGAGAAATACGTTCGCCAGGAGGTGGTAGTTGTTGAAACTGGATCTCACTATGCTATTTGTCTACTTTTATATAGTTTTATATTTTTTCATAGTAAAAAGTTATAGGCTTATATATAAAAAATGGTATACTGGAGATACTTACATATATATATTACTTAAGAGCTGTTATTACCTATGCCTTGCTCTGCATAGGTAAGATCCTTGACACTTGTGAGAGGTACAGTCCTAGATTTTTTTTTTTTTTTTTTTTTTTTTTGAGTTGGAGTCTCACTCTGTTACCCAGACTGGAGTGCAGTGGCTGCTCCCGGCCACCACAGCCTCGACCTGCTGGGCTCTGGTGATCCATCGGCCTCAGCCTTCCAAGTAGCCGAAACTACAGGCGCGCACTACCACGCCTGGCTAATTTTTGATTTATTGTAGAGACGAGGTCTTGCCAAGTTGCCTGGGCGGGTCTGGAACCCGCGGGCTCAGGCAATCCACTCGCCTTGGCCTCCCAAAACGCTGGGATTACAGGCTGAGCCACCAAGCCCAGCCACTCCTAGATTGTTATAAATCTCTAAAGTGACTATGAGAGATGCATCACTAGATCCTTACAAACCCCCAATTTGCTGTTAACATGACAGCATATCATCTCTTCCACTAAAATAACTAAATAGCCGCTGCAGATGGATTATGATTCTGTACATACGGGACTAACCATCAACTACCGGACTTTTAGGATGAATTCTGTGGTGAAAATAAATTCTACATTATACTACATTATGTCATTATGAAGGTAACAGTCATCCCGAATTTGCTTATATTTGCAAAACCAGCACCTAGATTTTTCTCTCCCCAGAGCCAATTCCCTACACCCCATCCCACTGAAAAAGCAAAGGTATTCTTCATGAAAGTGGATAACAAGGAAGTCATATAGAGGTCAGGTGGGCAGTGGCCGTTTTGTGTCTCAGCAAAATACAAATGTGGGCTTTCAGGGTCAACTACAGCTTGTTGCAAGTCCAATGCTGAGACTAGAAATGTCAAGGATTTGCTATATCAGACCATCAGCAAATACCTTTTGCACACATGCTATTCATATGCATTCAGTCATTCAGCAGCTATTTCTTGAGCACCTACTTAGTACCAGACACTGAGTGCTGAAAATACAAGGGAGAACAAGGCAGACATGGTTCCTGCCCACTCAGAGCTTATCTTCCAGCACAAGATCCCGTGCGAGGCACTGAGAGATTACTGCTAGGCTGCATCCAAATCCATGGCCTGCTGGGTGATGGTAATGCCTCTTCTTTCTTCTTACCAGGATTGGATTTGACATGAGAAAACGCATAAGTAGATTAAGATAACTGAGGAGCATAAGAGGCAATTACAATGATGTGTCAGTGATGCATACTGCAATAAAGGCTTTTCATCAGAACATTCTGATTTCTCGGGCATGGCTATACTGTAAGAATTTCACAAAGGCAATTCTGCCACACTTGAGGAGGAAAAAAAAAAGAGAACAGCGTGGCCATTTTATAAATTTTTTTGCCACGAAGAATGAAAGTATGCTATATTAATAAAAACTTCAGAATATCAGTTTGCTATTTCCAATGGATTAGCCTTCAGGATAATTTTCTTTTCTTTTTTCTTTTTCTTTTTTTTTTGAGTCAGAGTCTCACTCTGTCACCCAGGCCGGAGTGAAGTGGCACTCTCACAGCCACCATAGCCTTGACCTGCTGGGCACAGGCGATCCTTCCACCTCAGCCTTCCAAGTAGCTGGAACTACAGACACGCACTACCACGCTTGGTTAATGTTTTGATTTATTGTAGAGATGAGGTGTCGCCAAGTTGCCCAGACTGAACACAGGCTGGGCTTAAGCAATCCTCCCACCTCAGCCTCCCAAAGTGCTGCGATTACAGGCTTGAGCCACCACACCCGGCCTTAGGAAAATTTTCACATAGCGCATGTAACATGCTCTGTTAGAAGACAGTGAGTGGTTAAAAACTTGGGGTTTCGAGTGGAAAAAGCTCTACAGTATTTAGTGGTTGTCTTTACTTGGGTAAGTCACTTAACCTCTCTCAGTCGTAGTTTCCTCTTTTGTAAGATGGAAATAAAAAATGCCAACCTCCAGTGCTGCTGTAAAGACTAAGTGACGACACATCTGTAAACAGCTGAGCACCACACCCTCAGATGGTAGAAGCTCAGTCAAGGGTAACCTTTATTATTATTAATGGTGGTTTATGTTTTCGTGGACCGGATAACATGCAGGTGGAAGAAATTAAAAAGATGAAAATTGGTGACCCCCTTGACAGATCAACCGATCACGGGCCCCAGAATCATAAGGCCCATTTGGAAAAGCTGCTGCAATACTGTGAAGCTGGAGTCAAAGAGGGGGCCACCCTGGTGCACGGGGGAAGACAAGTCCACAGGCTGGGTAAGGTCACTTCTAGGTGGGGGCCCACAGGGCACCTGCCTCCTTTAGCTGGAACGGATGATCACCGTTTCCACCACGGCACCATCTTACCTCAAAAGGAAATAGTGGTGTTTGTAATAGGGTCAGGATAATTCATTTCTAGAGCCTGCGTGGCTACTTAGAAGCTGTGCCGCCTTGGACAACACAAGTTTTCTGAGCCTCAGTTTCCTCCTGTTGAAACAAGATGAAGTGTGCACACCCTGCTTTACAAGGCTGTGGCAATCCAGTAACCAAACGGATGTGACATGTCCTTAGCATGCAGTAAGCCAGTGTCATGGGGAACTGTGAGGTTTCATCTTAGCCAGCATAGCCTGGGAAGGATTTGTTGCCGTTGTCTAATGCAGGAGCTGTGACTGAACTATGTAAATGACTCAGTGTTATGATACTCATAAAGGACAGACAAACAACCACAAAAACCTCCTTTTTCACGGCTGTGGGTAGACTGGGCACCAACACCTTACTCTGAACATTGGTAATTACAAGAAAAAATTCAACATTTATCCTGTGTTTCCTGCATGATCTGAATTTCTGGGTAACTGAGTAGCTGATAAAGAAAACTCTTTAAAAAAATTTTAGATTTATGGGCGTATTGTGTCGCGGTGGAGATTGGGTCTCAGGTGGCCCATTCTTACAATAGTGAACCTTCTGCTCTGTAGGCTGTTTCTGAACCTTAGCTCCCTTACTGGTGTCCCTACGGCCTATTACTTCCATCTTTGTGACCGTTTAGCTTCCACATATGAGTCAGATCATGCAGTGTTTGGGTTTTCTGTTTCTGAGTCAGTTCACTTAGGGTGATGATCTCCGGTTCCAAACATGTTGCTGCAAAGGACATCATTTCATTTTATTTATTTATTTTTTTTGTGGCCATGTAGTATTCTATGGTGTATCTGGATACCATATTTGCACTATCCACTGACCGGTGGATGGGCATTTAAATTTGATTCCACATCTTTGCAATCATGAATTGTGCTGCAATGAACGTGTGGGTACAGATGTCTTTTTAATATAACCTCTTTAAATTTTTATTTATTTATTTTTTGAGTGGGAGTCTCACTCTGTCACCCAGGCTGGAGGGCAGCAGCACGCTAATGGCTACCACAGCTTCGAGCTGGGCTCAGGTGGTCCTTCCACCTCATCCTTCCAAGTAGCTGGAACCACAGGCGTGCGCCACCATGCCCGGCTAATTTTTTCTTGATTTATTGTAGAGATGAGGTCTCGCCAAACTGCCCAGGCTGGTCTCGAACCCGTGGGCTCAGGCAATCCTCTCACCTTGGTCTCCCAAAGTGCTGGGATTATAGACGTGAGCCACCGCGCCAAGCTATAACCTCTTTTTTTCTTTTTTTTGAGTTGGAGTCTCACTCTGTCGCCCAGACTGGAGTGCAGTGGCCGCTCCTGGCCCCTGCAGCCTCGACCTGCTGGGCTCCGCCGATCCTTCCACCTCAGCCTTCTGCCTCAGCCTTCCGAGTAGCTGGAACTACAGGCATGTGTTACCACACCCAGCTAATTTTTGATTTATTGTAGAGATGAGGTTTCGCCAAGTTGCCTAGGCGGGTCTCGAACCCACGGGCTCAGGCAATTCACTCACCTCAGTCTCCCAAAGCATGGGATTACACGCTGAGCCACCGAGCCCGACTTAAAACCTCTTTTTTTAACAGAAGAATTTCCTGTTATTTAATGTAGGAAAAAATGATAGAATAGGAGAAAATCACCATTTTGCACCCCCTAAAGATGAATAGTTCAGGCGAAGATTTTCAATGGAGACTGACATTATTGGGCGGAAGGTGGGTGGACACCTGATATTTTCAAGGCACCAAGTATCACGATCGAGACTGCTTGCCAGTCACGGGGGGGAAAACACAACCTTACATTGGAGGGGTCAGGTTTTTGCTGCCTGAAACCACAGGTCAATCTTAGCAGCATGACGCTTGGGTGTCACATGTCTCCTGATGGAATTAAGGTGTAATACACAGACCACCTGGGAAGTGTTCTTGCCAAAAACTCCGATGCTGAATCTAATCACACCTTTAGGTCAAACTTTTCATTTATAAGAAATACAGTGGGGAGGGAAGAACAGGAAGTTCTTGTTTAACGCATACAAAGTTTCAGTTTTACAAGCCAACAAGAGTTACGGAGACGGATGGTGGTGAAGCCTGTATATTATGAATGTATTTAATTACACTGAACTGTACACTTAAGAACAGTTGATGGCCAGGCTTGGTGGCTCAGCCTGTAATCCCAGCACTTTGGGAGGCCGAGGCGAGAGGACTGCATGAGTTCAGGGGTTCGAGACTAGCCTGGGCAACTTGGTGAGACCTTGTCTCTGCAATAAATAAAAAAAAATAATAAGCTGGCTATGGTGGTGTATGTCTATAGTTCCAGCTACTTGGAAGGCTGAGGTGGAAGGTTCGCCTGAGCCCAGCAGGTTGAGGCTGCAGTGGCCATGAGCGTGTCACTGCATTCCAGCCTGGGCGACAAGATGAGACTCCGACTCAAAAAAAAAAGAATAGTTAAGACAATAAATCTTGTTATGCGTATTTTACCACCATTTTTTAAAAAAGCAATACAAAGGATAGAGAAGCAAATATCACCCAAAGGAAATAATGACAAATCTAAAAAGAAAGATATTTTATAGAACAACTGGAACCTTTTCATTAATATGACAATGGCATAAAAAATAAGGCTGAGGGCAAAAGGGAGAAATGTCCTAGATTAAAAGATTCCTAAGGGGTCTAAAAACCAAATACAATGTGGAGAACTTTGAATCCTAACTCAAGTAAATCAACTGTAAAAAAAAAAAAAAAAAGATAATTTCTGGATGAGGGAAATTGAAATATAAGTTATAAACAATGATTGAGCATAAATTTTGTTGGTGTGGCATCATATGGTGATCATGGAAGAAAATGTCCTTATTTTTTACAGATTTGTACTAAAATACTTGGAAATGAAAATTATGATATCTGGAATTTGCTTTAAAATATTTCAACAAGGAAAAAGTAAATATAGCAAAATATGGATATTTATTATACTATTAATTATACCCTCCACTTTTACATATGTTTGAAATTTTCCTAGTAAAGATCTCAAAAAATTAGAACCTAAAATGCCAACACCAAATAGAGAAATGTGACTCTTCTTGATTTTACTGAGCCGGGGGGGGGGGGAAGTATAGTGTAATTAAGTGAGAGAACTATTAATTGAAAATGATTCAACCTATAATTGACTTTTTCCCCCCCAAAAAGGCTTTTTTATGGAACCGACTGTGTTCACAGATGTGGAAGACCACATGTACCTTGCCAAAGAGGAATCCTTTGGGCCTATTATGATCATTTCTAAATTCCAAAATGGGTATGTCCTTCAGACACTATTTATTTACTCTCTTGTCTTTTACTTGTTTATTTATTTCAACAGCTTTGGGGGTACACACAGTTTCCGGTTACATTGTTGTATTATATAGCAGCAAAGAAGTCTGGGCTTTAAGTGTTCCTGTCATCCCCACTTGTGTACATTATACCCCTAGGTGATTCTTCTGCCCTCCTCACCTTGCTCCTACCCCCATCTTCAGACACTTAACTTGGGTTTTGACTAGATAAGTTTTTTTTCCCTCTGTCATGGTGCTACATACGGAGCATAAAATTAATGAATGTGTAATTTTCTGCCATAAGAACAATTAACTTAATTGAATAATTCGAAGATATGCTTTTGCTATCCATTATAGAACATATTTTTGCTTCTTGGCTTAAATTAATGGCCAACATAATGGAATCTTGGTTGGTTAAATTTTAGCTTTTGTACCGTTGCCATCTGAAATATTTGTACAACAGAGTAAGTAACTGAGAAATAACGAAACTGGTTTTCACATTTACATTCCTAGAGAAGGCAGCATCTGTGAAGAAAGAATGCTGCTCTCCTAGGGGGTTCTGGCCTCAAAAGCTTGACACTCAACTTTTTCCACAGATGTTCACACTCACCATATACTCAAGTGTAAATGGTACACTGGCTTGTTACCCTACATGAAACTTTCCACAGTGGTCAGCATATCAGAGAGGACCATGTGTTTAAGACAGTGGAGTCTCATGGTGGAGTCTTATAACTCTTCAGAATTGCTTTAGGTTTACTTCAGCCAATAAGAAGTTGGAAAAAAAACCAATATAGAGTTCGGAAGGACTTTCTTGGTCTTTGACAGGCAGTGTAAGATTTGGGAAACACTCAGCTCTAGCGAATAACCTTTTGACACACTGACTCAAGGATGCCTGTTATCCCATTTCTCATTATCAACTGCCCCATGGTATAGCCTTGGTGTTAAACGTGCAGACAATGGAAGCCAAGTTGGGGGGATCTAAACATGGAAAAGTCACAGTCCTTGTCCTCAGGGTACGCACCATCTCATGGGGAAGACAGACAAGGAGATGGGCAGTTCATCCACAGAGGGCCAAAGGCAGGATGGGGCCGTAGGTCAGAGCGCACACTCTGCCTGCTCTCCTTACTGTCTCTGTTAGCTTGGGCCAGTGACTTAGCCATTCTGCACCTCACTTTGGTGATTTGTAAAACAGGGTTACTGACAGTGTCTACCTTCTTAGGTCATTCTGAGGATTCTCTAAGCCAAGTAGTTGATGTTGCCGCTGCAATGATTGCGCTGTTACTATTCTCGAAGTAGATGCTGGGCGATGGATCTGTGGCATCTTGATAGTCCTCAACGAGAAGCGCATGAAGCCATCTGTCTGCCTCTAGTCCAGAGGACCCACTCTATACGTTCGTGGGTCCCTTCCCTGTGAGAGTTTTAGCGGAGTCTCACTTCACTCCAAGTTAGGTTCCAAATCTCTTGTGCAAGTTTACAGTTGTCCATGGTCCAGATGCCTTTGAAGCATCCCTTTGTAAGGCACTGCACTGAGCGCTGTGCCATCTCCGCATATTTAGCACGACTCATTGTCCCTTCAGTTTGGGAACAGATCCAGTGTCTTTGCTGGAGCCTCAGATGAAATACCCAACTCGTACTTCCTGGCTGCGTTGTAGGAAATGTGTGCATTTTAAAGCATTACGACCTGCTAGGCGCAGTAGCTCATGCCTGTAATCCCAGCACTTTGGGAGGTTAAGGTGAGAGGATTACTTGAGCCCACAGGTTTGAGACCAGCCTGGGCAACTTGGTGAGACCTCATCTCTACAGTAAAATAAATAAGCAAATAAATAGCCGGGTGTGGTGGCATGTGCCTGTAGTTCCAGCTACTAGGAATGCTGAGGCGGAAGGATCACCTGAGCTCAGCAGGTCGAGGCTGCGGTGACCGGGAGCGTGCCACTGCACTCCAGCCTGGGCCACAGGGTGAGACTTCTACTCAAAATAAAATAAAATGAATAAAGCATTAGGACCACACTCAGAAAGCTGAGCTCCACTATGACGGGCATGTTGGAACTGGACTCAACCAAGAGCAGGGCAGGTCCACGTCTCCACTCACCTGTGCATGGACACATGCTAAGTCAAGAGGCAGGGAGATCACAGGTCCGATCATGTTGAATGAGCATGTGTCATTGACTTTACTCTTGTCTGATGATGTGACACCATATACATATAAGATGCTATCCCTGCCCTCGGGAGCTTCCATTCTCCAGTTTATGGATGGTGAACCGTTAAGTCCACAAAGAGTTAAGCCAGCCCTGCATGGTTGCTTCTACCAAAACACTGAGATCAGAGAAGCACGTGCTACCTGATGATGAATGACTTTTTTTTCTTTTTCTTTTGAGTTGGAGTCTCACTCTGTCACCCAGGCTGGAGTGTGCCACCGCAGCCTCAACCCACTGGACTCAGGCAATCCTTCTGCCACAGCCTTCCAAGTAGCCGGAAATACAACTCACGCTACCACGCCTGGCTGTTTTTTTGATTTGTTGTAGAGATGAGGTCTCACCAAGTTTCCCCTGGGCTCAGACAATCCTCTAGCCTTGGCCTCCCAAAGTGCTGGGATTACAGGCTTGAGCCACCACGCCTGGCACGACTGACTTTTATTGAACATTTACTGCGTTCCAGGCACGATGAGCTCATTTCATCCTCATGACAACAAGACAGGTCCTTTTATTATAATTTTCACTTTTCACAGGAATAGATGAAGGTTGGGGAGATGAAGGCATTTGCCCAAGGTCACCCGGGTCCCTCTGCTGCCTTGATGGTGACACTGGTGGGATCTGAAAAGGCTTCAGGCACTGAGGGAGGTTTGAGCCTTGTGTGTAAAGTCTGAAGAGATGGAAGGACAGAGGGAGGTTGCCCTGAGAATACATCAGAAGTGGGACTCAGGGAAAAGGGGAAGAGGCGGAGAGGTAATGAATGAGAAGGATGAAAAGATGACTCTGGGTTAGGTTGAAAAAGGTGTTTTATGATATATATGAAAAACATACTGTTAGAGTGTAATATTTCTATAGGACTTTCTTTTGGTATAAACTTAGAATATTTCATTTATAAAAATTTAAGCATATGGCAGTCATGTTTTCCTGTTTCTAGTCCAGAGGGGAAAAATTCATAACGTAAAATGTAAGTGTTTTGCTTTACACTTAATGAAGTTTTATGTCTTCCTGAAAACTCCTTATAGGGACATCGATGGAGTGTTGCAGCGAGCGAATAATACAGAGTATGGTTTGGCCTCCGGGGTTTTTACAAGAGACATAAACAAAGCTATGTACGTGAGTGAAAAACTCGAAGCAGGAACTGTTTTTATTAACACATACAACAAGACGGACGTGGCAGCCCCGTTTGGTGGCGTTAAACAATCTGGCTTTGGAAAAGACTTGGGTATGGCTTTACTTTTCTACTTCACAGCCCCTCTGTCACCACATCACAGACAAATCTGTCCTATGCTTCAGGCAACGCATACATATTGTATGAAGGACATTTCCTACATGGCAGTTAGAGCTGGGTTTATAAGCATGTTCAAGTTTTAAAATGTTAGCCATTTTTACTGAACATGCCATGCATACGGGGAAGTACACAATTGTTGGGAAGATGTTTCTTCTCAGAAGTAGATTAGTGTCGAAATGAGAAAGAAACCTTGATCATGCATTTTAGCTGCAGCATGCCTGGGTTTTTATCTGACATTCAGCATGAACTTGGTGTTCATGGGACTGCTTGGAACCAAGAAAGGGAAATGGGCGGGGGCCCTAGCCAGCAGGCTCCAAGCATGGACCCTGTCTCTTTGCTGCTTGGCAGGCATTCAGAGTTAACACTGCCATTGGCAGGGCTCACTGGGCATCTGGGCAGTAAGACTGACGGTATGTCAAGAGCCCAATGTGCACTATGCACTGTGAACGGTGACTCTAATGCCTTTCAAGCAAGAGCTTACTTTGAATACATGCCAGGCTTTACCTGTAGGAGCACAAGCAATCCTCACAACAGCTCTGGGAAATACATAATAGGGTGATTTTATCATAAAGAGCAGGAACATAGGGCCCAGAAAAGTTTAGTGATTTGCCCAAAGTCCCACAGCCAGGCACTGGTAGAGAGAATTTGAAGTCAGGCAGTCTGGCTGTGGAGCCCGTCTCTTGTTTCCCCAGTCTGGGGAAATGTCTGTGATTTACTGAAATTGTCGCCTGCTAATATAGGTTTGGTTTATTTGGAGTATTATTTTGTTGTTGTTTGTTTTTTACATTTTTTTTCTTTCCTGATAACTTTGGGAATGTCTTTGCAGTAATAAAAGCAGTTCACATCTTAAATTCCATCGGGTGAAGGTAAAGACTTTTTTTTTCTCTTCCATGTCTTGAATCCAGCTTTCATTTCTGGATCCAAAACACAGTGGGAAGCTTTCTTAGGGAAATTATTATTAGCATAATAATCATAATCACAAGCAGACATTCCTGTTTCACTTGTCTTTTGGCAAGTGTAATCGACCAGCTTCAGGTCTATTTTGCCATAAAATATTACAGTTTGCCTAATAGTTTCTTCCTTTGTGAGTTTTTTTTTTTTTTGAGTTGGAGTCTCACTCTGTCACCCAGAATGGAGTGCAGTGGCCACTCCCGGCCACTGCAGCCCTGACCTGCTCCGGCAATCCTTCTGCCTCAGCCTTCCAAGTAGCCGGAATTACAGGCATGCGCTACCACGCCTGGCTGATTTTTTGATTTATTGTAGAGATGAGGTCTCGCTGCCCAGGCGGGTCTCAAACCCGTGGGTCAGGCAATCCACTCACCTCAGCCTCCCAAAGGCGCAGGATTACAGGCTGAGCCACCGAGCCCGGCTTCCTTTGTGAATTTTAAAACCCTTTAGCCTAGTGGTTCTCAGTCTTAGCTGCACAGTAGATATAATCACCTGGGAACTTAAAAAAATACAGAGATACTGATCAAATTGGTCTGGGGTGTGACCTGGTATCACAAGTTTTAAAAGCTGCCTGGGCGATTCCAACAAGGGACAGGGTTGCCAGTAGTTCCACCGTGGTGTTCACTGCCCCTTGGCCACTGTAGAGATGGATAATTGTACTGGCTCAAAATAGAAACAGAGAAAGGAAGAACTGTTTATTTTTTTTGCCTAGACATGCTCTTCTGTTTTCTAACATACAATATCAATGCAATTCTCCTTGTCTTTAAAATAAAATGAAATCAAATGATCTCAAGATGTCCTGTGCTCAATTCTGCTTCATGTAATATAATCTGAAGGACAGTGTCCCGTCACTTCTGTTGAGCTTAAACAGAGGAAGGATAAAAGTAGAGTTTGTTATCAAGCAGGGAAATAAAGGCGAGGTTATGGTTATGGTTTGAAACAGATTGGCCAGCACGCTCTGCTCCCTAGCAAGCCTGGTAGCTGGTCAAGGCCTTTACTACTCAAAGCGGGTCCGAGGCCTACACCTGAACTCATCCAATCAGATCTGCAGGTTAACAAAGTCTTCAGGTGATTGGCATGGACTTGAGAAGCACTGGCCTAGGCCACATTCTGTTTCCTTTGTCATCTCCACATCTACACTCATGAGTCTGATGACATCACATCCCTTTTGAACATGGCCCACCAACTGCTCTTCTCTTCCTAGGTGAGGAAGCTCTAAACGAATACCTGAAAACCAAGACGGTGACACTGGAATATTAGTGTAACACCATCATCAGGAAGAGCCTGGCAGACAGCACCAATTCTCACCTCTCGACACTCCACAAAGTCTGGGGTTGCTGAGACAAGAGGGATCAGCCACAGGTCAACACCACACATGGACCATGAAGAGGGTCAGGCCTCATGTCAAAGTATTTACACACATGCCTTGGTATTTTCTAATATGCCTTTTATACTTTCAAGTGACTTGCAGTTGTTGGATTTTGACTATGTTGTATATCATACACATTTCTCAAATACCAGCTGCCTTCCTCTACCAAGATTAATCTATCGATGGCTGTCCATCTTGAAAACATCAACAGCATGCAGTTATAATACAAGGGGCATTTATTGGAATCTTTCTGTAATATCTCCAGTTTTTAACCTCTGAACCATCCATATAGGGTTACTGAAAAGGTTTTTTATAACTCTGCTTCCAAAAAACAGTATATCCTCTAAGGAAGGTAATACTTTTTTTCTTTTCATATTTGGAAATAAGATATATCCTGTGCCTTTCACAGTCTACATTCTATTTTTTAACACATTGTAATGGGTGATCAATCCACCAACATTTCGTGAAACCCACTAGATACAAAGTACTAAATTCTGTTCTGAGGAGTATATATAATTTAATGACATGACCTGTATCCTCTGCATAGTTTAGATTCTAGTAAATGGCTTTTCAAGTGAATGTTACAGTATGACATAGTGGAAAGTAAATAGCCTTTGAAGGCTGATACTGATTTCTGTCATACCATCCTACTATGTATGTGACTTTGGGAAACTTGACTCCGCAGAGCCTCAGCTTCCTTATATGTAAGATCAGGATAGAAACACCTTCCTCAGGACCCTCACTCTAAGGATTCATTGCAATTATTTAAGTAAGGCACTCCACATTGTGCCCTGCTCACGGTAAGTCCTCAGTTAAACACAGCTGTTCTCCTCCATCTCTGTTCTAAAACTATATTGAGATAGGTTGGTTAGTTAATTAGATAAAGCTATGTCCCACAACTCTTTACAATAATCAGTTCTTAGACTTCGCATCCATTGTTCTGACACAGGACCTTGTGTAGCAGCACTGAGGAATGTCATGTGATAAAAATGGCAATGGCACAAAGAAAGGCATGCACTTCTTTCAGCAGTGTACTGTCCTTCACATGCCATCTGACTTTCCATTTTTCTGCCTACTGCTTCTGCTGCTCACTAGCTGTGTGATCTTGGGCAAGACAGTTACCTAGTATCTTAGAGCTTGGGTGTGGTATCTGTGAAATGGGGATGAAACCTCTTTCTCATTAGGTGTTGCAAGGACTCAGTCAGATATTATACATAATGCACTTAAGGTGTTTGGATCATAGCTGGTGCTCAAGACATGGGAACTATTACAACCCATTTCCCGTTATCAGACAAAAGTAGTTGGGTGAGTAGGAGACCACCATCCACTGTGACTGGAAGGCAAGTTCCTGAATCACAGGAGTCTCTGGAAGACGGCCAAGCAGCAAGCTTCTTCTATTCATCCTCCTTTTAAAGTAAAGGTAAACATTCCTATTTCTTTGGTCTTGAAGAAGCCTTCAGGGAGTACCTGTTAATCTGGAGACTAGGCAGTATATATAACATGAGGGGAAAGCAGGAAATCAACAATAATAAGCAACAACAATGGCAAAACCGGAGGCAGAGAATATTTTCAAGAGGAGGAATACCAGTTTTGATCCCCTGCATGATCAAAAGAGCAAATTTTGCCTATAAGCATTTTTTAATTATACTGGATAGTTCATTTGCCATCAGAGCTTGGCATAGCTAAAATTCTAAGTTAGAATGGATATCTCTGAACTCCAAATGACAGCTCATATTTGAATAAAATGACAGAGGTCTTATTATTATTATTTTGATTGGAGTCTCACTCTGTCACCCAGGCTGGAGTGCAGCAGCACACTCACAGTCACCGCAGCCTCGACCTGCTGGGCTCAGGTGATCCTTCCACCTCAGTCTTCCAGCTGGAATTACAGGCACGTGCCACCATGCCTGGCTAATTTTTTTGATTTATTGTAGAGATGAGGTCTCACCAAGTTGCCCAGGCTGGCCTTGAACCCATGGGCTCAGGCAATCCTCTCACCTTGGCCTCCCAAAGTGGTGGGATTACAGGTGTGTACTAACCATCATTCTGTCCCCATTAAAATGTAAACCTCATGAACAGGTGCTGTTCTGTTGAATCCTGTATCTCCAGTGCCTAATTTGTGGGAGGGGCTCAATCCATGTAGAGGAGAGGTTAAGTGACCTGCTAGAATCACACAGCTATTAAGTGGCAGAACAGGTACTCAGGCAATGGAGCAGGTGGTCTTGACCAAGCTGAGATCATCTTTATTCTCAGTGCCTAAATCAGGGCCTGGGTAATGAATTATATATTTGTCAAACTAAAAAAAATTAGCAAAATGGACGTAACCTGCAAGTGCTTTTGTGGAAGTGGCAAGAGCCAGGAATAGGAATCAGAAATAAAGTTATTGAAGGAAACCTGGGCTAAAAGGATGTGAGAGATGATGGCTCCAACATGAGACATGAGGGATGGGGGTTATTATTATCACTATTATACAAATAGTACCTGAGTGGATTTTCTAAATGATTAAATGCTATGTAACTATGTGAAAAGCACAATAGGAAGGTAAGACTCAAACAAGATGATAACTTGAGATTGTTCCAAACTTTTTCCATGAATACACGTTTTTCTTTACAGAATGCTGTAAACTACTTTGTTCCCCACTTTTTTCAATTAACAGTATATTGTAAGCATCTTTCTATGTCAATAAACACAATTTGGCATATTTCAATGGCTGCAATTCAACTTGTTCTCTATTGTTGGACATTCAGATTTGCCATTTTGGTATTTCAAATGTCAAAAAATCTTAAATAAAATTTGTAAACAAAGCCATACTTAGCTACTGGGGATAAATTCCTGAAGTGGAATTCCTGAGTCCAAGGCTATGCAATGTAGGATCTCACCAACAGGTTCCCCAAGTCTTTGGCACCACTGTGTTTTTTGTTTTTGTTTTTAGTTGGAGTCTCACTCCTTCACCCAGGCTGGAGTGCAGTGGCACACTCACTGCTGGGCTCAGGCAACCCTTCTGCCTCAGCCTTCCAAGTAGCCAGAACTACAGGCACACACTACCATGCCCAGCTAATTTTTTAAATTTATTGTAGAGTTGAGATCTCCCCAAGTTGCCCAGGCTGTTCTCAAACCCGTGGGCTCAGACAAGTTCCTCATCTTGGCCTCCCAAGGTGCTGGGATTACAGACTTGAGCCACTGCGCCCAGCCTGTTCTTATGGCATCGTAACATCCACTGAGCACTGTTCTAAGCAAGTGATACATATTATAACTCATTACTTCATTACAAAAATCTTTTTAGGGAGACACTGTTATCTCCCTTTACTGATAGACAAGCTGAGATAAGTGGCTGGGCTGGGATTTGACCCAGCTTCAGAGGCTGTGCTCGTGACATAGTGATTGGGGGTCCATGGTAGTGAGATGTGGCTGATCAAGCTTAAAATCTGGCTTTACCACTTGCCTTGCATTGTCAGTGAGGCCTCAGAGATTTGCTAAGTATATATTCTTTGCTCCTCTCTGCTAGCTTTACTCTCGAGGGCTGTCTTCATTTATGGTCACGAAACAGGAGTTCCAAGAATCATACCCTGCCATAAGATATCCAGTGCTTTCTTCCAAAAGGAAGGACGCATCTTTTTGCAGACCTCCCTTCTGGTCTCCCTTTCTGGGAATGAGAAACACAGTCATGCCTCCTTTAATGATGGGGATCTGTTCCGAGAAGCGTGTTGTCAGGCAATTGTGTCACTGTGTAAACATCATAGAGTGTACTCACATAAACCTAGATGGTAAAACCTACCTAGGCTATGGTACAGCCTTCTGCACACCTGGGCTGTACAGAAGAGCCTCCTACATACCTAGGCTATATGATATAGCCTCTCGCTCCTAGGCTACAAACCTGTACAGCATGTTACTGTAATGAATATCATAGGCAATTGTAACATGGTAAGTATTTGTATATCTGAACATTAAGTGGGTACAGTAAAAATACAGTATTATAATCTTATGGGACCACTGTTGTATATGCGGTCCATCATTGACTAAAACTTTGTTATGCGGCTTATGAATGTACTTTCCTTCTCAAAAATCTATAGACTTTCCTCATGCCTCCTTGGTTAGGTTCACATCCCATGCCCACTCCTAAACCCATGACTGGCCAGAGTTTTCCATGAATCTTTCTATACCCACAAGATTCCTTTAAAAAAAAGTCTATCAATCATATATACAAGAGGGGACTCCCCAAAAAACCAGAATTATCTTTTGGAGGGCGGGTCCCTCATAATACAGGCTTCCCCCACTAGGTAAGTGTTCTAAGAACCCAGCAGCATCAGTGTACCAGCTAGTGTTGAGAGGCTGTGTTCGGCTTCGGTGAATTTTTTGGAGACACCTGCCCATTTCATGATGGGTGACTTAGGAGCACACTTGCCCACATCACACTGAGTGTTCAGCAGTCTGTGACCTAAAATAGCACGGCCCCTGTGCCTCACCCTCCTGACTCACCTAGGTCTAACCGCAGCAACTTCTTGTTTCTCTGGATGAAAAAAATCCTCAAAGGAAACATTTTTCCTATGTGGAAGAGATGAAGCAAAAAACAGCAGAAGCACTAAAAGGCATCAAAACTGACAAGTTCAAAAACTATTTTGAGCAGTGAAAAAAGTGTCTCGATAGGTGTACTGCATAGAGAGTATTTTGAAGGTGACTGAAATTTAAGCATGTAAGAATAATATGCAATTTTTCATAAAGAAATTACAGTTCTGGGGGGTCCCCCGGGTTCTTTTTTCTTCAGGATTCTTTTTTTTTGAGTCATAGTGTCAGCGTCACTGTATCACCCAGGCTGGAATACTACTGGCATAATCACAGCTCACTGCAGTCTCAATCTCCTGGGCTCAGGCAAGCCTTCCACTTCAGTCTCCCAAGTCGACGGGACTACAGGCACATGCCACCACTCCGGGCTAATTTTTTTATTTTTTGTAGACACGAGGTCTCGCTATGCTGCCTAGGCTGGTGTCAAACTCCTGGCCTCAAGCAATCCTCTTGCCTTGGCTTCCCAAAGTGCTGGGATAACAAGCATGATCCACCACAGGATTCTGAACCAGGATTGTGAACTGATGTTTAAGCTGAATTGTTTTACTGCCATAAAAGAGAAGGAAAAAAAGCCAGTTCACTGAATATTTATTGTACATTCCAACTGAGTGAAAGGCACTGTGCTAGGCACTGAAGGAAATACAAATGAAAGCCAGATTCAACCTCTCTTCTTTCTTTTTACCATGGTCACGGGTACAGGCACACAACACAAACAATTCTGCAGGGCAGTGTTTAAAATAAGTACCATATGTGATGCACAATGAAAATATGATGGGAACAGATTCACTCAGAATGAAATTTTTGCTTCTAAAGCCATTACGATTAATTTTCTCACTTATAGCTGTCACAGAGGCATAGAAAGATGGTACTCCACAAGTGTGATGAGAACGTTTCATGAATCTGAGCTGTTCGACAAATGGCTGCCACCATGCACACTTCCATGCAGAGTAAGCCCAGGATTGAAACAGAGCACAAAACTGCAGACTGCAGGGCAAATTTCTCCACAGACTACAGGGCAAATTTCTCATAAACAAAGTAACTTTTGATAAAGGTTATCATACATACAATCAAGTGCACAAATGTCCAGTGTACAACTCCACGAATTTTTCCATGAGTAGTGGTAACTCTTAACACAGAGGGTTCACTGTTGCCACATCTGCCAGTTGGATAAGTAAAGAACATAGTCTTGATTTCATTTGGATTTCTCTAATAGATGGGGTTGGATTTTCTTGTTCTCTGAACTACTTTTTCATGT